TAGCCTGGATTGTTGTGGCTTCCCTGAGAGGTTGGGGCAGATTGTGAAACTGGACCCACAACGCCATCGTGGGTATCTCCATCTCTTGCGGAGTGACCACTCCATCCCACTTCTTCAAGGCTATAAGAGAGTTGTTGATGTTCCAGGGTCTCGCATCCCAGACTGCATCTCTCGCTTTTTCAGAGGTGAAGGAGTACACATAGAGATTCTTGGCCTCCCTTTCAGCTTCAATTTCCCCGAACTCCTTCCATCTCTCCTGGGCAGCACTCTTAGCTTTTGGTGGAGGGATTGGGATTTCAGTCAGCCATTTCCCCAGGAGCATGGCCATCCCTCTGCCTCTTCCTCCCACTACTTGAGGTTGGATGTTCAGCACCAGGTGGCCTTTCTCGGTGGTTTCACTCACTTGGCTGGCTTCCATGATTCTCTGACACACAGCTGGTAAGAAAAGGTGGTGTTTGTGGTATTTGGTTTCGGGGGGTGGTGTTTCTTCTTTGCTGGACGTGATTCTTCTTCTTTCGCATTTGCTCCCTTTTATAGCTATTGCTGGATTGTTGATGAGCTGGTGTTTATCCTTCTCTTTATGGCACCCATCAATTCCTGCCTTCCTTTGCCGCTTCTGCAGGTGTTCCAGTTTCCTGATCTGGGATTTTCCGGGGATTTTCTGCTCTCCCCTGGTTTGATTAGTGACCTGCAATCGCTTCTCATTAAGGAGGGGATCTCTTGTAGCCTTCTTAAGAGGGCAGATTCGTTTCTTTCCTGGACTAGGCCGGCTGCTGATGCAACCTTCTGATGCATTTTCCCGGGATATGAGTCTTCTTAAAGGCCTGGGTTTTTCTTGATCATAGTGAAGCAGCCCTCTGATCTCCTTCTTAACTGCTGCTTGGTGGGTGCTGATGTATCTCTTAGTGCTAGGGTTTTTGTTGGTTAGCCTTCTTAAAAGCCTGGATTTACCTCGATACGGAGGAGATTTCCATCGTCCTGCTGCCATAAACTCCCCTTCCCTGTAGCTCGAAAGATAGCGGGGTTGCTCTGTAGAGGGATTTTTTATGCAAGTCTTCTTTCTTTTCAGTTGTAGAAGCTGGTTCCGATGTGCTAAGATCCTTCCTTGTTGTTGTATGAGCGCTCCAAAGAAGGCAGCCGGGAAATAGATTAGCTCCAGAGTGGAACTATCTAGAGGATTTGGGGAAAGCATTTTTTTTTTCCTTTAGTCCTTACAGTTCCGGCCTGAGTTGATGTATGTGTTAGTTAGTTTTAGTTGATGCAATGATGCCTGAGTAGATGTTGCTCTGACATTATTGCTATCTGCCACTGTTAATCTGTAATAGATATCCTTTTTAGACAATGAATACGAACATACTTTGAAAATGTATAAACATACTAATAGCTTTCTTAATCTTAAAGCAAACAATAAAATAAACTACTGTCTGTTTGAAAATAAGGAATTTTTGAATCTCAAGCCTAGACCGAACACCATTAGTTCATTTTGTATCGGGATAGTACAGTGCAGGTCCTACCTATTAATTTATACATGTATATATGTGTTGGTATGGCAGATTACAATCGATTTGTGCATTGGGCGTTGGAGGCATGGAGCTTTGACGAAAGAGATTTTGAGGGGGGCGGCTAGCTCTTGCAAGAACTGGGCTAGCCATGTCTAATGTCTTTGAATCGAATATACAATCTCCATCTCGACTGCGCATGGGATGGCCGTTGAGTTGATGTAGCTGGAAGCCCGCAACAGTGATCCCAAACTCGCGGATAGGGCATCCAGAAGCTCCCTTGCAGCTTGCTAGCTAGCTAGGCATTCTTTGATTTTGTTGTAGTCCTAATATATATAATTTGATCGGTTTCTCTTACAACTTATCTATTTATTTACTACTCATCGAGCCAGCTACAAGAGCGAGGGGAAGATAATACTATTAGACCATGCTTTACAATGTGCTGATTAGTACGGTTTATTGTGAAAGCTTGTCCCGGAAGACTAACTGACCCGTCCCGTCTCTAAGGGTCGGGACGAGTCAGTTTGTCTACAGGGACAGATTAGGGACAGGTCATTTGTTGACCCTCTAAGGGTCGGGACGGGTCGGGACAACTTAGGGACGGGTCACGTTTTGACCCTCTGACACTTAGCAACAACAAATATCTCATACTTCATTGGACCTTTTTGTAAAGTTTTAAAAGTTTAGGTACTAATTTGTAAAAATAAAAAAATTTGGGTACCAAAACGTAGTTTTACCATCAAATTTTATGGACTTATTTGCAAAAAAAAAATATTTAGGTACTAAATTGTAACAAAAAATAATTTTGAGTACCAAAACGTAATTTGTAAAAAAGTAGTGTGTTGATTAGGGTCGACCCACTGAGCCGGCCCGTCCCGTCCCAACCCTTGAGGGTCAGACAGGGTCAAGAAGGAGACAGGAACGGGACAGGACGGTTATAAATCTTGACCCTTCAGGGACGGTTCAGACAGGGACGGGACAGGCAAATTTTTAGCCTATTTACATGTGCTGATTAGTACGGTTTATTGTGAATCTTTTTTGTTTTGAAGGACTGTTGAATGTAGAGCACTTCTACTATGCTATATAGTATTGGTGCTTTAATGTACAACTTGAAGTTATACTATAACATTAAATGTATAAGTTTAGGTTATACCATAAAGGAATTTGTATCATTATGTTATGGTACAACTTTACAACTTGAAGTTGTACTATCATATAAGATACAAGTTTAAGTTGTACCATAAAAGAATTTGTACAATAAGTATAGGTACAATCTGAAGTTGTACCATAACGTTAAAGGTACAATTTCAAATTGTACCATAAAAGCAAAAACCTATAGAACCAATGTTATATAGCATTGTAAAATTCCTCTTGAATGTAAAGGTTAATTCTATATATAACAATTGCACTAAAACACTATAAATTCTGTCTCGAAGCCTAATTAGATTTTTTAGTCCTTCAAAATTAGAGAATGGAATACTTATGAGTTGTTATGATGAGTCTCAAGTTTTTGTTGGACTCGATTTTATTTTATAAGGGTGATAATTTATTGAAATCCTGTTAGCCACGTGAGGTTAAGTTGAACCCTTTGTGATTTTGCTTTCCGACAACAGGTATAGTAGAGCTTTGTTTTCAAGAACATGAAAAAAAATATAAAAGATCAAATGACTAATTTAGCTAACAATTAAGAACAAAAATATTTCAGATGATAATGAACACAAAAATATAATTAATCAACACAAAACCAAACTCATCCGGTCAAAGAGCCGGGTGGCAGTAATTAGCCCAAAAATGTCACTTGGTTTTACTCCATATGGTTCTACTCCTTTAAGTCCTACCAATTCTAAATGACAATATATTTTCTTCTAACTCTAAATTCATATCCGACAATAAGAAGTACAAAAATTTCTTCTAAAATATGGAAAAGCATATAAACAACAGTAAACTAGAACGTTTTTATCAACACATATAAATATTAACTAATTATCGCTAATGTCATAATAAAAAAATATGATAAAAATTACTTTGAAATAATGAATTAAATATTTTAGAGGATCCCAAATTATTTAAAAATATGAAGAAATTGATCAACATAAAATAAAGCAAAATTCATCCGACCAACGTGTCGTGTAAAAACTAGTTCATATAAAGGAGAAAATGAGGCTGTCATTAGTTTGTTCCTCCTCAACAGCATCATACATTGGTTGATCCTTTCCTTTGGTCCACACTCTTGCACCGTAGTATCGGCCTCAAGGATGTGATTATCGAGCAGGGTACTGAATTGGGCTCGCACTTTTCAATTGAGACATAACAGAAGCCCAAGCCCACTAGTCTGGTGTGCCTTGAAGTAGTCGAACTTCTCAGGTCCATCTATTCTCTTCCCATATTCCAAAAATGGAATAACAAATCCGAGTACCGTACGGATATGAAAAGTTAGCACTATACGACGTCGTCGGTCTTCAACCAACCTTTGAAGAAATCGAAGTTCCCTTATGGATTCCTTTTGTTAAGTTAGCTAACCTTCTATTTAATTTCTTAATCGCAGTAGAATTGTCTCCGACTTTGTCGTATCTTTGATTTTTGTGTCTAGATTGGTTTCAAAATGTAATCATTGATCTTTAATTCAATCAATATGATTATCTTTTTCTTGTAAAAATAATAATTATCTTTCGTAAAAAAAAATTGACATAGTTATTGACCCATAAATTAGTCATAGGATGCGCTCCTAAATTATGGTTATTGACAGAGTTAAATTAGTCATAAATTATGGGCAAGACAGAGTTATTGACAGAGTTAAATTATGGTTGTATGGGCAAGACAGCGAATTGAAGTTTCATTTGATTTCCTTTTGTTGAGTTCAATAACCTTCTATTTTCATTTTCCTAATCGCGGCAGAATTACCAATTTTAGTCGGTTTTTAAACTTAGGGGTCGTTTGAAAGTTGCGATTGTTAAATAGATGTATTGTTGAGAATGCATGTATAATATTATACATGTATTGTCGAATTTGATGCATTGTAGAATACAATGTTTGGTATGTGTGATTGTGTATGTCGCATCAGCTAAAAGCTGAGACAAAACAATCTCAACCCAACTATCTCAACGATCACAACTAAAAGTTGAGATATAACAATCACTCAAAATGAGTGATAGTTTCTGTCACATCACAGAAACAATCCATGTATTGTTTCTGCTAAAAAAAAAACAACGCATTGTAAACAATACATGCATAATGACAATTTCAACAAAACTATCGCAACTTCCAAATATCCCTTATTGTTTTAAACAAATAAGATCATATGATATTGATGTTGACGCATAAGTTAGTGATGGGATGCGCGGGGAGTGTCTATGAACACTTCGTATTACATAGTACAAATTTGATTGGGATTCCATAATCGGTCAAAATGTATTCCTTATCCTAATTGGATTTGCTTATTCCAAATATGATTGGGATTCCATGAATCGCCCAAAATTTCTACCTTTTCCTAATTGGATTCCTAATCATTCTCTTCCACCCTTTATTATGACCATGAACCAATCCATTCATCAAACATTCTCGCACAATTTCAATCCAAAAAATTCCCCTGTTTTCCCCCTTTGTGTCTCTGTTTTTCTCCAATGGAGATCCTCAACGTTCAATTCCGCTCCCGCCTCGATCTCCAAAACCCATCCCCCCTCCATCTCCGCGCGCCGGCGCTGCTCTCCACCCACATCCACGTCGCCACCCACTACGCCGCAACCCACCGGGACAACCTCCGATCCCCTGTCGACGGCGCCCTCACGCTCCTCCGCGAGTACTCCTCCCCCGAACCGCCGTCATTCGACTGTTTCGGCCCGCTGGAGAGAATCTACACCTCCACGCGCCAGTTCATCGACAGCGTCGCCGGTGTCCTGGCCGAAATTGGCGTGCCGGACCCGGAAGTGCACGAGTTACTGGGCTGGAACCTGGCCCGGCAGGTGGACGACCTAGCCCGGCGCGTGCCGTGCACGAGCGAGGAGCTGTGCCTGGTGTGGACGGTGGAGAAGGTGGAAGATCACTGCTTGAGATTCGCTGAGGTGGGAGGTTTGTTGATGGAAGAGCTGTGGGCGGCGCTGCGGCGGGGGATTGATGATTATGACGATGGTAATTGCGGGATGGTGGGGACGGCACCGGAGGCTGTGGCGGAATTGGCGGCGGTGGAGGTGAGAGGAGGAGAGGAGAATTGTGTGATCTGTTTGGAGGAATTGGCGGTGGTCGGAGTTGGGTCTAAGGCGGCGGTGATGATGCCTTGCAGGCATGTGTTTCATGAAGGGTGTATAGTGGGTTGGTTGAAGACGAGTCATTACTGTCCGATTTGTCGGTTTGAGATGCCGACGGCGGCGGTGGAGCCTTGTGAATTGGTTGAAGGCTAGGTGTCACTGTCCGGTGTGTCGATTTCAGATGGCCACGGCGGCGGAAGAGCAGAGTGTTGAAGTAGAGTTGTGGAGGTTCCTCCACGGAGGTTAGTTTTAGGGCGGGAGAAAAGGAGGGAGTTCAAGTTAGGGTGTTATTAGGGGAAGTTGTAATTTGTTGGTGATGGGACTAATTGACAACCATTGATGGGTAAAACTTGAATTTTGATTCTGCCTTTCTCATAGAGCTACTGAATATGTACAGACCCATCAAACCTCCCTTAAGAGGCATCCCCGACGCTGCTTCTTCTTCTTCTTCTTTGCATCTTTCAGTTTTGTTGCTGGCTTGATCACTATGTTGATGGTACCAAAATAAGCATAAGAAATTAGGTACCGCAACACCTAATGTTAAGAAGATGTTAGGAAAGGGCTCGCCGCCGGTGACTAGATCGAGGGACAAACAACGGTTAGAAAAAAAGGCTAGAGCTTGCATCGGAGAGAGCAAGGGACGATTCATCTTCTCTCTGCTCGCTTTGCCTTTGCTCGTCCTGCAAGCGGCGATGGTGGATTCGTGAACTGGAGCTTTTGGGGGTTTGGATCTGGCGCCGAGTAGAAAGGTAGGATCTTCCTACCAGATCCGCTCGCGGATTCCATGGAGGTGCTCTTCTCCGACGAGACATACGATTTCACGAGCGCAGTTGGAGAAGAGGGGAAGTGGTGGTGGTGGCGGACTTTGATTACCTGGCAGTTCCTTTTTCCTTCCCCTTCTTGCTCGGGGTAGCCTGCCAGCAATCAGAAGTTTGCTTCTGAGCGCACGAAGTTTGCTTCCGAGCGCACGAAGTTTGCTTCCGACGATGCGAATCCCGACGGCCGGCAGTTACACCTTAGGAGGCTTCAGTTTTGGGGTTTGACGGTTACAATTCCAGAGCAACGGTTCCAACTGGGATCCGTATCAGATACGCTTGTTCTTTCTCTTTCCTCCCTAATTTTAATATTTATTTATTTTCAGGAATTTAATTCTAAAATCTTTTAATTTTATTTTCCGTAACTGCTCATATATATAAACTTTTCACTAACTTTACTTAACTTTACTGTAAAAAAAAAGTAATAAAAAATATTTTTCTTTTGACCTTGTTAGCTTTTGATTCGGAGTATCCGACCAAGCCTCCATGGCTTGTTTAAGTTCATTCGATGGAGCTTAGTTGTCCTCTAGCATGGGCGCTTGTGTGTTTGTTTGTTTTTGTAGGGGCACGTAGTTTTCCCTTGATCATACAAGCATCCATCAATTATGATTCAATCTCGTGATGTGGCGCATGCGACAGGTGGAGCGATCTTGGAAGAGATTTGTTTGTCGTCTGAGTCTTTTAATTTCTTTATTTGTACTTTTACACTGAGGTTGTACAACAGGGCTGCCCACTTAGTGGCTTCTAATGCCCTTTCATCGACAGCTCGATATTGTGTCGACTGTCGCGTCTGGTTTTCTAGCGTCCTGTAATATCTATTTCATTCCCGATCTATGACAAAAAAAAAAAAATTGACAACCATTGATAAGTGTTAGTGCATTATATGGTGGTAATTTTTTTTTGTACATTCTCCAATCGAATGAAACAAATGATATTTCATAGAAAATATTATCACTCTTTTCCAATCTTGCACAAATGAATATTTTTTACTCCAATTTTCAATTACGGTAAAAGTTGTCCCTACTTTATGAACACTTTTCGCCTCATTATTGCGTTTACGAACATTCAACTCATTAAATTGTTAATAACTCAACATATATTGCTGACGTGGCTGACATGTGGCCGTTAAGTCATTCAAAAGCTTTTTACTCAAAATTCTGGGCTTAATTGCAAGTTTGGTCATTTGAATTACTAGTAAAGTTCACGTTTGCCACTAAAATTAATTTATTCCATCCGTGGTCACTTAAATTAGGTTAACAGTTCAAATTTGGCCACTGACCATTAGTCTCCGTTAACTTTTGCTGATGTGGCGGCCAACTCTCATGTTGACCGTTAAGTGAGTGACATGACAATTAAAAAAATAATTATTTTTCTTTTCCACCTAATTATTATAAAAATTAAATTAAATATATTTATTTTTATTTTCCGTTTCCTTCTTTTCTCTGCAAACCCAAAAGAGATGAGCTGGGGTAGAGGTCATGAACTCGGCCACAACACCACCGCCACCATCTATCCAGCAACCGACCACTGTTACGGTGAATGGTTTGCGGTCAAATCAGCAGGGATCTCCCAATCGGAGTTCCTACAACGAGAATAAAGGATTCTGTCCTCAATCAGCTCTCCTTATATAATTGGATACAGGGGATTGGAAATTACGACAGAGGAGGGCAAAGTTGTGTACAATTTGAAGCTCGAGTACATGCCCGACGGCACGATCGTCGACGAGATTCCACCTTGACCTCCGGGTACGATTCCGGCGACGAGTCGCACAACAACAACCTTGCATCACCCACCTCTGTTCTCCGAGTTAGAAGCCAATCCAGAGAGGACTCCTCCGAACCGGAAAAAGATACCAAGCCGATTCCTCCGACGCCATCTTCGATCTAGCTAGAGGAGCCAATGGCTCTGCTTCTGGCTGAGCCTGTGGGGGAAGACGAGGCGACAGCTGGACTCCAATTCTTCCAGGAGTGCGATGGCTCCCTTCTTCTCTGCTATATAAATTGGGAGACAAGATCACCATGATCATCACCATCGATCTTCTCCCTTTCTTCTTCCTAGATCGAGTATACATAGAACTATATTCACATTATTAGCTCTCACAACGATGAAGAGCTCACTCCCGCCGCTGATTCCTTGTTTGCTGCTATTAATATGCTTGGGGTGCTCTGCTTCGTCTCACTGGCGACTTGCTTCCACCGTCTCTGGCTTTGGCCACGGCAGCAACGTTTATATACTAGGTGTTCCGATTAGTAATGATCAAGAATTGGCGAGTGGGGTTGGGTATGTGACGCGTGAAAGGTTCACACGTCGGGATTTTGTGCGAAGAAAGGGAAAGACGAGGAGGAAATATGAGTTTATTCTTATTCTGTTAACTCAAACGTAAAATCCTAGTACTATTTATAGGCTAAGCCTACAATAACAAACCCTAAACCGATTATGAATAATAAATAAAAAAACAATAATCAAAGATTATCTCAACAAATAATAACGGAAACAATAGCCAAAATAGAAAGAGGGCAGTCGAAAATATTTGTACGCATCATTCCTCCCCCCTTAGAGCAACCTCGTCCCAAGGTTGTTATTAGTCGCTGATTCATCCACCTCCGCCTTCGCCAAAATCTCCAATCAACGCGAACACCTGATTGTTAGCACAACGGTGGTCGTAGGTGAAGCGCTCGTCGCAATTGTAGCAGAGCCCATCACGGCGTCGGCGAGCAGCTTCTTCCGGTGTTAGATGGCGAATTACTCTCCTCCCAACTGGTAGTGGCGCGCGGTTTGGCGGTGCAGGCGCAGGTGCAGGTGCTGAGACGGGAGCAGGGGCGGCCTCCAGTGGAATAGCAGCAGGCCCGCGAACAGCTCCCCGCTCGAGCCGGATCTCCTCCTCGCGAATCTTGGCCAAGGGGTATGCTTCACCGGTGTTTCGCGACGCAAAGGCGCGTATGTAGGCGGAAATCTCGGGCTTGAGGCCCCCATGTATGTCCCTAGGGGTGGAAATTGGTACAGTATCGATATCCCAATACTAAATACCAAAATCCCGAATAACGAATTACGCCCCTGAAATCAATCCCAATCCCAATCCCTAAATAATTTCGGTATCCCAATCTCAACCCCTAAATATTTTGGTATCCCAATTGGTACCTCGGTATCCCAACCGGTATTATCAAATACAAAATTAATTACCTTTGCAATTAGTAATTAAATATATAAATAAGATTTTATTATTTAATTTAGGGCAAAGAAACTAAACAAAGAGTCTTGAGTTGCCTAGAGCTAACATCTCAAGTTTTTGTAATTGGTAATCTTTAATTTGATGAATTTGAGGTTGAGAGACGACTAATACTATTGTGAAATAGTAATGTAATGATCTATGTATAATTAAATGACACTCTTGGTGGTTGAGGGTCGCGTAGTAGTGAATGAGGGAGTCTAGTTGAAAGGATAAAATACACACTAGCTTATATGTCAGTATTGATCGGTATTTCTGTATATACCAATCCCAATACCGTAATCCCTAATATCGAATAAAAATTAAAACTCAATCCCAATCCCACGAAATAATACGTGTATTCAGTAATACCAACTATAAACAAATTCGATACGGTATTCGGTATATCCCAAATACAGGTACCAAACTTCCAGCCCATATGTCCCCATCACGGCCTCCTTACTATATCCTTTGCAACGATTCAGCAATCGCTCGAAAGTTTGCTAGTAGTCTTCCACATTTCTTGTATGCCGAATTTTGGCCAATGCCTCGTGCCCCGCAGGGCTACCTTATATTATTCGGGAATGTCTTGATACCTGAAGTATTTCTCTACTCGAGCTATCCACCCCGATGGTTCTTCCTGACCGGTGAACTTGGGGAACCCGAGGGTCGCAATCCGACCCCTAAACCAAGAAGCCGCCGATTCCTCCCCGGTCCGAGTCTTCCCGGCTTCGCGGTACTTCTGGTTGCGTTCGACTGAGCCGCTCGATCCTGCTCCGGACGACGGGCCGCCAATGCTGCGCTTGGTCTTGGGCCACTGCCACGTTCCCCCCGACCCTCCCCCATGAGACCCAGGAGACTCGTTGGCCGGTCCATCTCGGTTGCCAGGCCGTTGTTCGGCCAAGATCCTTCCCATTCCTCGTGCGGCCGTCCTCCCAATCCCCTCGCCTGCGTGCCTGATTCCACATCCCCTCCGTCTCCGTTTACACGACCGCCGCCTCCAGCTCTACGTCTGGATCATTCGTCGATCTGTGTGATCGACCTCACCATTCCCCCATCTTTGTCATCGAAGGCCAGATTGCCCCATACCAGCCCGGTGAGCGGGATAGCTTCGTCCCTGCACTCTGCCCCAACGGAGACCCCTTTGACGTTGGTGTCGGCAAGATCAGACGCCTGTCCGCCGCCTCCAACTCTAAGCATTAGTCTGGCAAAGAGACATTGCAAATGGGTCCTTGCCAAACAGCTCCTCGAATTTTGGTGGAGATATCACACATAACTCATAGCCGATGCAAGCCTTTTCCACCTCAACTTTGTCCTTAGCCTGGATGCCGATTGCTTCTTCAACCCCCCTTCCTTCCTTGGGAAAAGATCAAGAACTTCCTCTGCTTCACTTTTGACATCCTCCACAACTTCTTTCCTCATCCTTTCTCACTCTTCTTCTTTCAGCACGGATTGGAGAGCAAGTCACCAAGTAATTTCTTTGATGAGATCATCTTGCATCTCCTCACACATGCCCACCTCTTCAAAGCTCTTTGTGGGATGTGGAAAGGTGTGGTTGGCTAAAACAGGACATTCCTGATCATGATCATCACGAGAGCTCTTCGTGGCAACTTTTGTCTGCTCCACAATGTCCTTGTAGCCTCCTTCATCCTATTCTTCTTCTATGGTAGCAGAAAGGGGATCTTGAGCAAGTTGTGCACAAACTTGCTCAAGATCCTCGAGTCTCTTCTTAATGCTCAAGAGGGTCTCCTCTGTTTCACGGTAGGATAACTCAGTTTGGGGAAAAACTTGACACGCTACGACACAACACCTAACAATGGCCAAGTGTAACCAATGAAAGGGACTGCAGTATAATGGTGCAAGTAATAAATATCGAATACTCGGGTCTCTAGAGTTACTATTACTCAGCTTCAGTTCATATCTAGCAAACTAGATTAAGGATTGATTTACTAAACCACTCTACTAACTACTGTACTAATTACAGGTTGGGAACTCACTTAGGTATGATTCCCCCTAGCTCGTCAACTAGGTCCAAGTTGTAATTCCCTTTGGTTGTTTTACTATTGATTAGACTGCAGAAGATCCGAAATTAGCTTGAAATCTCTTAAGCTGACCAAGCCCTCTTAGACAGAATACCCGACAGGCGACTAGCCTTCACCAGGATAGACTGCTAAGGCGATTCACACAGATCAACTTGGAGCATATTCCAGTATAAAGCAGTGAATTGACTGACTCTCGTACAATCAATTCCCTACTAGCAATTGAGAAAGCTCTATTAACCCAATAAGATTCTATCTATCATAGGTTAAAGAAGAAATCAAGAGAATTTGATCAGGATTCAATTGACTCAATAAATCATGCCTCAATCGATTATAATCACACAATATAGCATTCAAAACTTCATACAAGAAAGATCCTAACATATGGAATTAGGGTTCCTCAAAACCTAAGTGAAGGGAAGTTACTTCATAGAGTAGAGAGAGACTGCAGAAATCTGATCTAGATCTTCAATCTCCATCTCCAAGCTTAATTCTCTAGCTCCAATGGTGAAGAAATCCTCCAAAACAGCTCCAAGAATGGCTCTAGATCACCCTCTCTCGCTTTGGTTCGTCCCTTGGGTGTTTGGGATCCAAAACCCAGCTCTCCCTCTCCAAAAATCACAAAACAACTTTTATACCTGCTGAAACTCGCACCCCCTACTTGCACGGTCATGCAAATTGAGGTTTTGGCCGTGCAAAACCCCTGGGAACTCACACGGCCGTGCATAATTTTACACGGCCGTGCACAATTTCCACCATGCACTCCTAAGCTTCATTGATCTCGTTTGAGCTCGTTTGACCTCCGATTCAGGTGCCGTTTGATTCCAGATGCTCATAGTCTTTTCCTCTTTCTTTTCATGAAAAGATTTCATGATTATTTGTCAATAAAATGAGGTATAAATCCATTCTTCCTCAAGTCATTCCCGAGTTTCTCACCCGAGTCGCCAATTAATCTCCTATTGACTTGAAACTTGCGCCTAGGCTTCACTTTACATGCTAGGACCTGAAATGTGACAAAGGAACACAAAATAGCGTAAAATAGTCCAAGAAATCAATAAATCAAGCCAAAATGATCAAGAAACGAGGGTGCAAACATGTGCAAATACGAAGTTATCAAATTCCCCCACACTTAACTGTTTGCTTGTCCCCAAGCAAACCTGACTCAAACCAATGCAACTCTCAAGACCTTTATAGAAACATGCAACCACGATCGTCGGTAGAGGACGTTCTAAATCATTTAGTCGCTTACGTGGTCAACCAATGCACAAGACACCTCTTAGATTCTTTGGCGAGAACTCTAGTCCCGAGTCGGGATCATGCCAAGTAGTGATCGGATGACAAGTGATTCGTGGACAAAGAGACTCTAAAAAACTGAAAGGTCATGGACTCACTTTTTTAGGTGCTCTATTTTTTTTATCCTTTAAAGATGGTTGGAACCCCTTTTATCTTTTTCTTTGTTTTGTTGTTTGTTTTTTCCAAGGGTCCCAACCTGTTATTTCCAAAAATGGGGCTCCTACCTATTAAAGGTTTTGAGGGAGCCCGACTCTTACCGACCATGCCGGGAGCAGATGTCTCGAGCCTCGTGCAGGGAAAAGAAATGTAAGGGAGTTGGAGGTAGTAGGTGGAAGTTGGGAACGGATTCCCGTCTCCCCTTACACACTTTCGCCCTATTCCACACGAGAGACATTATTTTGAAAGCACAGTTTAGAGCACCTTTTTCAAAACATGATACTGGAGTCCACGACAGGTAGAGAGTCATCGATACCACACGATTCAAGTGTCCTAAGATCACTAATTCTCACAATCAACCAACACAATATGAAGAAGAAATGAGACTTCTTAATGCATCAACATCCTCCATAGTGCTACAACTACCTCCCTAGGTTGCATGATACTATAAAAACTGTCAATTCAAAGCATACTAAGCTGGAAATTGCAGGGAACATGTACTTGGAGCCCTCAAATCAAAATTTGGACAGTGGACTAGGCTCCAAACATACACAAACAACCAAACATTCACATGCAAACATAATGGAACATCCCCCCACACTTAAGCATGACATTGTCCTCAATGGAGAAAAAATAAGGAGGGTAGAACAAAGTTACCAGATCAAGTGTGAATGATGGTGGACGGGCCAGGCGGTGCATTCCAGGAGGAGAGAGATCAGTCAGAACACAAACACCACACAAAATCTCACAAAGGTTGAGTTATTGACTCTAAAAGCAAAAGAAAAACTGACTCAACCGAAGAGACATAGGGAAAGAAAGTGCAAACCGACTGGTTGGGTTGCCTCCCAACAAGCGCTTCTTTCACGTCGTGAGCCAGACGGTGGCTCTTAAGTTTCGGTCCATGCTAGAACCTCCTTGAAGTTGAGGTTCTCGTCGGCGATGCGGAGTCTCAAGTCACGAGCATGTGGTATGACAGGTGATGTAGGGTCGTGTACTTGATGAATATGAAGTCTCCACCCGCATAACCTCTTCTTTTCTTCCTCTCTCGCCTCATTGCCCCAAACCAGATATGACAAAATCGACTGACCACCATCGCGTCCACCAAGAGGGACTGATGTCGATGTGGCCTTGGTCTGGCAAAGAGACATTGCAAATGGGTCCTTGCCAAGCAGCTCCTCGAATTTTGGTGGAGATATCACACGTAACTCATAGCCGATGCAAGCCTTTTCCACCTCAACTTTGTCCTCAGCCTGGATGCCAATTGCTTCTTCAAACCCCCCCCCCCTTCTTTCCTCAAAATTTGATTCCTCCCTTGGGAAAATATCAAGAACTTCCTCTGCTTCACTTTTTTCATCCTCCACAACTTTTTTCCTCATCCTTTCTCGCTCTTCTTCTTTCAGCACGGATTGGAGAGCAAGTCGCCAAGCAATTTCTTTGATGAGATCATCTTGCATCTCCTCACATATGCCCACCTCTTCAAAGCTCTGTGTGAGATGTGGAAATGTGTGGTTGGCTAAAACAAGACATTCCTGATCATGATCATCACGATAGCTCTTCGTGCCAACTTCTGTCTGCTCCACAATGTCCTTGTAGCCTCCTTCATCCTCCTCTTCTTCGATGGTAGCAGAAAGGGGATATTGAGCAAGTTGTGCACAAGCTTGCTCAAGATCCTCGAGGCTCTTCTTAATTCTCTAGAGGGTCTCCTCTATTTCACGGTAGGAGAACTCAGTTTGGGCAAAAACTTGACACGCTACGACACAACACCTAACAATGGCCAAGTGTAACCAATGAAAGGGACTGCAGTATAGTGGTGCAAGTAATAAATATCGAATCCTCGGGTCTCTAGAGTTACTATTACTCGACTTCAATTCATTATCTAGCAAACTAGATTACGGGTTGATTTACTAAACTACTCTGCTAACTACTCTACTAATTACAGGTTGGGAACTCACTTAGGTATGATTCCCCCTAGCTCCTCAACTAGGTCCAAGTTGTAATTCCCTTTGGTTGTTTTACTATTGATTAGACTGCAGAAGATCCGAAATTAGTTTGGAATCTCTTAAGCTGACCAAGCCCTTTTAGACATAATACCCGGCAGGTGACTAGCCTTCACCAGGATAGACTGCTAAGGCGATTCACACAGATCTCATCTACTTGGAACGTATTCCAGTACAAAGTAGTGAATTGACTGACTCTCGTACAATCAATTCCCTACTAGCAATTGAGAAAGCTCTCTTAACCCAATCAGATTCTATCCATCATAGGTTAAAGCAGAAATCAAGAGAATTTGATCAGGATTCAATTGACTCAATAAATCATGCCTCAATCGATTATAATCACACAATATAGAATCCAAAACTTCATACAAGAAAGATCCTAACATATGGAACTAGGGTTCCTCAAAACCTAAGTGAAGGGAAGTTACTCCATAGAGAAGAGAGAGACTGTAGAAATCTGATCTAGATCTTCAATCTCCATCTCCAAGCTTGATTCTCTAGCTCCAATGGTGAAGAAATCCTCCAAAATAGTCCAAGAAATCAAAAACTCAAGCCAAAATGATCAAGAAACGAGGGTGCAAACATGTGCAAATACGACGTTATCAAACGTTATCATCCACCCCTTTGAGCTTCTCTTCGGGTGCGATTTGATCCGTGGTCCGCCTTTGGTTGTCCCTTTCGTTGTCCGCTTGGCCGGCAAACAATACCTCCATTCGCCGTAGGATCTCTTCGAGATCCCGTCGTCGCGTAGCCCCCGCTTACTCCTTTTATTGGTATATCTTGGCCTGGAGTGACGCATCAATTTGGTCCAGGCGGAGGTAGCGGGATGGGAGTAGGGGTTGGATATATTTTATTTCATTTTTATAATAATTAGGTGGAAAATAAAAAAATAATTATATTTTTTAATTGTCACGTCACTCATTTAACGATCCATAGTGAGAGTTGACCGCCACATCAGCAAAAGTTAACGGAAACTAATGGCCAGTGACCAAATGTGAACTGTTAAACTAATTTAAGTGACTATAGATGGAATAAATTAATTTTAGTGGCAAACGTGAACTGTACTATTAATTCAATTGACCAAACTTGCAATTAAGCCCAAAATTCTGTTTTGAAACTTAAAATAAAATTTGGGTTGAAATTCCCTTTCGGAACCATGTCTTTTTTTGTACATAAAATTTGTATGTAGAAAAGAAATTAGGTTTTTTATTTTTTAATGAATGTAATAATGAGGTGGAAAATATAAAATTTTATTTTGTTATTTTTAATAATTTTTAATTGCCACGTCACATATTTAACGGTCAACTATGAAAGTTGACTGCCACATAAGCTAGAGTTAACAGAAATGGACGGAGAGTGACCAAACTTGAACCATTTAACTAATTTGAGTGATCAAGATTGGATTTAAATATTTTCAGTGACCAAACATGAACGTTTTTTGTAATCTCAGTGACTAACAATGCAATTAACCCGTACAAAAAAGGTATATCTCAAGCTTACCAGCTTCAACGTAATTTAAAGATTGTAGGCCATGCTCCACACCAATGGAGCATAATTTGAAACGGAGTAAAGATAGTGGAGATCTTCTAGAAGATCAAACGTTTTTATGAAGACTGGTAGGCAGTCTTATTTATCTCGTACACAACATATATCTCATACATTGCACAAGTTGTGAGCCTAGTTCATGGGAGCAGCAAGGACGACACATTGATGACGGGTTGTTCTTTCAGTAGGAGGGGAACCCAGGATCGAAGCCTTCACAGATGTCGATTATGCAGGGTGTCATTGGATACTAGATACCTCGTGGTGTTTTCGTTATGGGAACACTTTCGTGCCATGGAGATGTAGAAAGCAAGATAGAGTCTCAAAGTACTCAACTGAAGTATAGTATCGGTTCATGTTTGAGGTAAGTTAAAAAATGAGTTGGCTGCAACGTTTGTTTAAGGAATCAGGAGTTGGATATCATGTTTTCTATGGTGATCAATGGAGACAACACTATTGCGATTCAGATAGCGATCAATCCAGTCTTGCATGATCGAATAAAACATATAGAAGTGCACATGTTCACCATATTCTTCAGTTGGTACTAGAAGGAACTATCCACCTTCAATATATGATAACATATGAACATACAATTGACGAGTTGACCAAGGCTGTAGCTTCAAGCAGACATTGATCGTTCTCTCAAATTGATACTGAGAATCTAACATCAATTTGAGCGAGGGTACTTATCGTGCTCATGAGTCATGACGTGGCAACTTGGAGGGAAAGAACAAAAACAGAAGAGACAAATGGTAAAAACGTCGTGTGGGTGATGTGGCAACTCGAGAGGGAAAGTGCTCACTAGACACCGCCACATGGCAACTGGCATGAGGCATCAATCTCGTCATCGTCCGATAAAGATTCCGTAGAATCACACACCCCAATCGCCAACCGTTGATTTTGATTACTTTCTCACTCTCCCTTTCTCTCTGACTCACGTCACACAACACAATTGTGTTTCAGACTCGAAAACCTAAAAAATAACGAAAGCATTTACGAATCCAATCACCAGACCAGAGATCACTTTTTCCTCTTTTCAATCTCTAGGGATTTTGTTCTTCCCCAATTTGTATCGAGGTTTGACATTGTTCGTTTTGGGCGGGTTATGGTAGATCGAAATGTCCGGTAGCATTAGCGACGATGACGGCGGCGTTACCAAGCCATACGCTGCCGAGCAGGAGCAAGATGACGGAGGAGCTGTGAGTCCCGAAATTACTGCCGATCAGGTACGCTCGAAATTATCGTTTTCATTATTTACCGGATCGTAATTATGCTGGATTAAGAAGAGAGGACAATCGATTTCAATTTGGTGCTTCCTCGTCTCTTTGTTGTTTGCTGAGTGACGAGAGTGAAATGCAGGGAGGAAGAGGTTCAGTTTCGATTCCTCACACGGAGAGTAGGGAAGACATGTTCGTGGACGCGAATGACGTTATTGTTCAAGAAGTTCAGTCCCAAGAATCGGAGAACGAGAGCGAATTGAAGGATGAGGATGAAGGTGAAGATGAATCTTCTACCTCAGAAGTTGTCGTCCAAGGACTAAGCGCAAAGCTCGAGAATGCGCTGGCGGAGAAAGAGGGTATCGAGGAGGAGTTAAAGGTCTGTACTCTCGATCGTTTGCTGTATGCATGAATGGGTTTTGATATGGTATTTTTTTTTATTGAGTTGTCCATTTCATTCCGACTGCAGGAAGAAAGGGAGAGCTGCGCCAGGGAGGTTGCTGGTCTCCGTGAGCAGCTGAAAGGTCTGGCCGATGGATGGTCGGCTGATGGGGAAGCGGGTACTGATGGTTCGTTGGCAGAGATGATAAATGAATGCTCCCAGTTTGTTAAAGTTGCTCTAGCACAGAAGCTGCAAGCTGAGAAGACCATGACTGAACTTCATCAACAGATTGAAGATCGGAATTTGAAGGCTCAGGGGAGTCAGGATGTTGAAGTGGTTGTAGATAGGATGATGTCATCGCTTGCCACAGTGGTTAATCCAGGGGAATTACTGGACTATTCTGTTCTTGGGAAAGCTGCTTATGTTGAGAGAAGTGCTTCTCTGTTGATGGAGCAGTATGCTTGGATTCTATACGAGATTGATCAATTCAGACATTCCATGGCAGAAGCTGGTTCGAATATTGAATTACAGGGGGACTATGCTTGGGGATCTCTGTTTGCAACTGCTAAAGCCGAGTTTCTTGAACTAAAGAGAAGAGAAGTAGAAACGATGGAAAATATAGCTCGTTTGCAGGACGAAAGCAGGAAATTGGCTGAAGAACTTCAGCAGGCTAAGGATGCTTCAGATGTGGTGAAAGCAGAACTCGAACGTGAAAAGACCAGGTCTGCTAATACGAAAGAAAAGCTTAGTATGGCTGTGACGAAAGGGAAGGCTTTGGTTCAACAACGTGATTCGCTGAAGCAGTCTCTAGCTGAGAAGGGGAGTGAGCTTGAAAAATGTTTGAAGGAATTACAGGAGAAAACAAGTGCAGTTGAAGCTGCTGAGCATTGTAAGGAGGAATTAGCTAAATATGAAAATTTGGCTGCATCTTTGCAGGAGTTGCTATCTCAGTGGAATGTGGTGCTTGAAAGCTTTGAAGATCTACAGTCAATGGATCTGGAAGGGAAGTTGAGGTGGATTGTAAAAATTCTTACAGAAAAGATGGCAATGTTTGATAATTTTGAAGAAATCTTTTCTCAGGCATCAGTCCCTGAGGAACTGAAAACGGAAAGTGTTACTGTGAAGCTGAAGTGGCTTTTAGATTTGGTTATATCACTGAAGGAAACACTTTCACTGAAAGACAATATTCTAGGGGACTTTGAACAAACTCTTGCTAAAATAAGTATACTGGATGAAGTTCAGCCAGAGGAACCAATTAGTAGGTTGAAATGGCTAGTTGAGGAAAAGCAGAAATTGGAAGATGAAATTGCTAAAGCTAAGGAAACTGCCCAAGATGAGATTGACCGGTTGGCTGCTTCACTGGCAGCGGAGATTCAAGAGAAGGAATATTTGAAGACAGAGCTGGATGGATTGACAGGCAAGCATGAAGAGATGGTGGAAAAGGAATGCCGAGTTTTGTCAGAGAGGGATGAGATGGTGAAGATGTTGGTTAATGGTATTGGAGTGGACATAGATGGTCTAGAAGGGTCGAATCATAGTTTCTCTGATATGAGCTTTATGATCGCTAGATGCTTAGACAAGATGAAAGAAAAGAACAGTGCTTCATTTGCTATTTCTCCTGCTGATGTTGAGTTCTTTGACAAAATGCAGAGTGGTCTGTATATCAGGGATCAAGAACTAATGCTCTGTAAGACACTTATAGAAGATGATGAGCGGGCGAGATCAGATCTGTTGGATTCCCTCAGATTAGCATCTAAGGAGCTTGAAGCGTTGAGGGGGGAAAATGAGTTAATGACCAATGATCTCAATAGATCAGAAGAAAAATCTTCCTTGCTGAGGGAGAAGTTGTCCTTGGCAGTCAAGAAAGGCAAGGGATTGGTGCAGGATAGGGAAAATTTGAAACTTCTTCTAGATGAAAAGAAGTCGGAGATTGAGAAACTGAATCTAGAGATAAAGCGGTTATCTGCTGATTTAGCACAAGTTGAGAAGTTGGAGTCTGATCTTGTTGCCGCAAAAGATCAACGAGATAAGTTTGAGCAGTTATTATTGGAAAGCAACAATTTCCTGCAGAAAGTAATGGAGTCAGTTGACCACATCACTCTTCCTGTCGAATCAACTTTTGAGGATCCCATTGGGAAGATGAAATTGTTTGCTGACTACTTAAGTGAGTGCCAGCTTGCTAAGGATAATTTAGAGCAAGAGTTAGATCGTATGAATGAAGAATCAAGTGTTTTGGCTAGTAAGTTAGCAGAAGCACAGCAAAATCTGAAATCTGCAGAAGATGCATTGTCAGGTGCAGAGAATCACATTTTGGAGCTCACTGCAGAAAAGAAGAAAGTGGAACTAGACTGGCAAAAGGCATTAGAAGAAGTCAAATCCCGGACAAGCGAGTTCACTGAAGCTAGTGCAGCTAAAATATCTCTTGAAGATGCATTGTCGTTGGCAGAGAATAATATTGCTGTACTTGTTAAAGAAAGAGAAGAGGCTCTAATTAGCAAGGCTGCGGTTGAAACTGAGTTCGAAAAGGTGAAAGAAGAAGTGTATATTCAGGCTGGCAAACTGACTGATGCATACAAATCTTTGAAGTCTCTAGAAGACACTCTCTCTGAGGCAGAAGCCAAGATGGCTTTGCTCACTGAAGAAAACAACAGTTTCCAGGCTGGAAGAACCAATTTGGAGAATGAATTAAGGAAAATGAAAGATGAAACTGCTGGAAAGCTGGATGATTCCTCCTCAACTATTAAATCGTTGGAGGATACTTTGTCGAAGGCTACACTTGACATTGCTTCACTTAAAGATGACAAGAGGATTGCTGAACAGGAGGTATCTACATTGAGTTCCAAGTTGAATGCTTGCATGGATGAGTTATCTGGAACCAGTGGCAGCTTGGCTAGCAAGTCTGTGGAGCTAGTCCGTCATCTCACAGATCTTCAGATGCTTACGAAGAATGACGAACTGTTATATGTGATTAGGGATCGTTTCGAGAAGCAATTTCAAAACCTCAACAATATGGATCTCATGCTCAAGGACATGAACAGCTTTTGTGCTAAAGGAGATTCACAAATGCTGCAGATCCATCCCATAAAGGTAATGATTGACAGGGAGTGTTTGTTTTAGCTTTTTGCTAGAAACAGAGTGACTGATTTTCTGCAAGTTTTAGATTTAGCAGGACTGAAAAGGAAGTATGCTTGGAAAAGTTCTATAAAAACCTGAATTGATGAAAATCTGAGATATTTTTCTAGAATTTGTAGGATGGTGGATAGTTTTGAGGGGATTCTTGGATGGGTATACAACTAAGATGACCTTTTTTTAGTGAGTTGCTTTTTGATTCTAATAATTTAAGTCATTTTGAGAAGTTAGGTTGTAGAAGTGTCTGCATCAGCTTTCAATTGGCCTTTTTTAAGCGGAAACAAACTCAGTCTCTATCTTTTTCTCTCCCGCAGTTTCAACTTTCAATGGCTGTTTTTTAACGCTCTGTTTACAACCTTGCAGGATGATTCACACTCAAATATAGCTTTCCCATATGACATTGGTAGTACTACTCTAAGTGCTGAGATGGAAAACGGGGACGTGGATTCAGCTGATTTGGACAATGTTTCATTGTACTTTAAGAAGTTTAGTGACGGTTTACAGCTGAGGAACAAAATTGTTGCTGAGAATTTCGAAGGATTATCGAGCTTCATAGACGAGTTTGTTGAATCTTTAGTAAGCAAATTAAGGTCAACAAAGGATGCTGTAACCGTCACCTTTGAGCGAATGGAGTCCATGAAACAGAAGATGATGGATTTGGAAATTCAAAAAGGAGAACAAGATGGAGCCTTGGCATCTCTAGAAAAAGAGCGTGAAGTTTTGCTCTCTGCATGCATCAATGCTACAAGAGAACTGCAGAGTGAATTAGTGAACAGTCTGCTGGACCTGAAGTCTGTTCCTGAGCTTGAAAAGCTGAACCATTTGATTCCATCTGTTAATGAAGAGTCATATGATGCTGGACAAACTGAATCAATTGTTGAGGCTCAAAATTTGTTATTGGCTGCAAGAAAGGTTCGAAACCATATGAAAGTATTTGAAAGTACGAGTACAGTGGCGGCTGCTGTGATTAAAGATTTGGAGAACAAAGTGACAGCTAGTGCAGGAACATCTGAAAGCATCCTAAGAGAGAGGGACTTTTTCCAAGGTAGGGTTTTGGAATTGGAGAGTGAAGTAGAAGCATTGCAGAATTCGTGTCAGCAACTGGGGTCTGAACTAGGAGATCAGGTGAACATTGTAAGAGAAAGGGACCTACTTCAGAGTAGAGTTGCAGAGTTGGAGGCTGATGTAGAAGGAAAACAAAATTTGTGCCAGCAGTTGAAAGCCAAGCTAGGAGACTACGAAAGCATATTAAATGAAAGGGAATTACTTGAAAGTAGGTCTATGGAGCTACAAGCAGAAGTAGAAGCTTCACAAAAAGCATGCCAGCAGCTGAGCTCAAAACTTGTGGACCACGAAAGCATTGTACGAGAAAGGGATCTACTTCACAGTAGGGTTGCCAAGTTGGAGAGTGAACTAGGGGATTATAATAACTTGGAGGAGAAGTTAAAGGAAAATGAAGCGAAGCTTTCCACTTTGCAAAGCAATATATCTACGAAAGAACAAGGTAAACTTCTGTCGATGTTTTAACTTAATTTTTAACAGGTTAATGGCAATCTCTGAACTATTTCTGATTATGAAACACATACCTCCACTATTAGTTTTATCAAGCATATCGCTATAATATAGCTTTTATTTGTTTTTAATCTAGATTCCATCCAAAAAATTTAAAAGGAGTTACAATTGTCACAGCATCCTCTGGATGACTCATGCCACATGTAAAAAATCCATGTTTTCTCCTTCAATTCGACTTTGAAACCCCACATTTCGTGGGGCTTAGACTAATTGACAGGATCTAGTTGAGGGGGCGAAACAGATTTCCAGCATACATGGTATGTTGATTCTTCAATGACGTGTTTTCTAAGCATGGGTCGACCCGTTGGTAATGATTTGGACGAAAGTTTTTTGGACGAAAGTTTTAAAATAGGGTTAGAAATGGATAAGCGACATAGTATAATGACTTATTTGTTAAAATATACCGCATACAGATGTATTTCTTAGAAAGTTGCCATTTAACCCATTTTTAAAACATTTTGTTGCTTTACCAAGTACAGAATTTTGCTAACCAGTTCGTTAATCATTCTCCTTTCAGAAAAAGCTGAAGACCCTCTTATGTCAACATCAGAGCTGCGAACTCTTTTTGACAAAATCAGTAGTATCGAAATTCTTAATTCAGAGTTAGAAGTAGGCGGAACAGTTGGATCATCGCATAGTTCAGTTGATGTAAATAAACTATTCTACATAGTCGATAGCGTGTCACAATTATATAATGAAATAAATGTATTAGCTTCGGAAAAAGATAAGCTACAGACGAGCCTATCTCAACAGATTCTGGAAGTTGAACTTCTGAAGGAAGATGTTCGAGCTCATTCCAGAAATCAAAAAGATCTGGAAATAACGAAGGGTGAGATTTCCGAGATGACAGCTGGCTTGGAGAGAGTAATTAGTGCATTAGGAGGTAATGAAGTTGTTGCAGCAGCAGATCCAAACCCTGTTGGTCCAGGGAGACTTCTGCAGCAACTGGAAAAACAGGCTAATGGACTGCTCTCCGAAGCTGAGAATGCAAAGTCCCATGCTCTTGAGCTCGGCAACAGGCTGCTCGAGAGCCAGAAGGTTGTTGATGAATTATCGTCTAGGGTCAAAATGCTCGAAGATTCGGTTCAAAATAGAAGTGCGCAGCCTGAGATTTTCCAGGAGAGGACTATCATGTTTGAAGGTTCATCTCGGCCAAGTGGGTCAGAGATATCCGAAGTTGATGATGCAGTAAGTTTGCTACATCATTGTGTGTTAGCTAGCTGATCACTCATTGCTGGTACTGCTGCATCTTGCAGTTATTCTGAATGCCATTATGGTTTCTTGCAGAGCTCGGTTGGGAAGAATTCCTCGCCTCCCGTACCAAAGGCTGCTCACGTGAGAACAACAAGAAAAGGTTCAACAGACCATCTAGCAATCAGCATCGACACAGAATCAGCCACTCTTATCAACAAGGAAGAAACCGACGAGGACAAAGGTTCCCATTATGATATATCTTCTGTTTTAATTCCTCGAGAATCGTAAAAGTGAAGAACATTAACTGTTTTTTTCCTGTTCCAGGTCATTTGTTCAAGTCTCTCAACACATCAGGCCTAATCCCAAAGCAAGGGAAGTCTCTAGCAGATCGAGTTGACGGAATCTGGTAAAGTGCCCCGAAACCAAAGTCTTGAGTCGCTGCTGAGTGATGTGTGAAAACTTGGGCATGCATATTTATTGACTGCGAACAATGTTGCAGGGTATCTGGTGGTAGGAATCTAATGAGTCGTCCAAGGGCAAGGCTTGGCCTGATAGCCTATTGGCTTCTGTTGCACGTATGGGTATTGGCAACAATTCTGTAACACACACAGCAAAGAAGGAAGGATTTGAAGAAAAGGAGGAAAATCACCGTGATGGAAGCCTTTCTGTATCGTAGTTAAGAAGGGAAATTTCCATCTGATTCGTTCATTGTGTTTCCATTACCTACCTCTTGTTCATATATTGTCTAGAGTTCCCTCATTTGTTCTCTGCAAGTCATGTTTTAGGATCCCTGCAGAGATGAAAGAACAACAAATAAAAGGGGGAAAGGTCAAGCCTTTGTGTTTTTGCTTGCTTTGTAGAGAAGGGAAATTTGTAAACCATTTGTATTAACTGTTTAGACCACAGGTGTTCATAATTTCCCAGTTACAGAAATTTGTTAAATGTGGAAGTTATAGGTATCAACTCTTGATTCATCTGTTTAACCATTGAACTATCTTAAACTCTCAAAACTGAGAGGCCATTGGTGGCCAGCCACGTGCCGTGAACCCGGAACTGATAACGATAAGCCAGAAACAGGGAAGAAGAAAGTATGAGATATTCGCACTTCTCCCAGCCATTTTTGCCGGCGGGAAGCTAATTCTTGGACTGGTTCTAGTAATATGCTCATCTCGATTCTTGCTACTGAAGACATGGCCGGATTTCAGAGTCCTCTGAAGCAGCAAGACGAGCAGGTTAGGAAGGAAGGAACCCTATTGATTGGTTCTCAGTGGATGGTTTCAGGGAGGAAATCGCATACATTGATCTGCTGATATTTTGCAGGTTCTCACATCTCTCGAGCGTCTAGATTACGTACCGTTTGCCCTTCTGCCCGGAGTTAGCGAGGTAAAGGTTCCAATTACATTGAAGCAATTCCTTCTCGTTAACATTGTTGTTGGTGAATTTGGAAGCCTCTCCCTCTTCAGGGGCTCTGGAGCCCTGCAGCCGCTCTTTGGAATGGACTTGAAGAGTGTTCTTGCTGTTGCTGCCTTGTTTGAATGAACAGCCAACTGCTTGAATTTGCTTCTGGCCAGTTCTCTCTAAGTCCACCTTTATGTTCATGATTCTTGTCAATTCCCCCTCTCTGCAGGGAGAACTTCGTTGGCTGCATCTGTGGCTACACCACGACAACATCCTCAAGCATTGGAGGGATCTCATCGAGCTGCAGCAGCCAATCTTGGAAGGCATTGAATTAGTCTATAACTTGGTTAGCCCGACTTTTCCCTCGTAATTATAACTATAAGATATCTCATTCATTTTTTTTTTAATAAAGGAGCTTCCTCCTTGAATGAAACCTTGTTTTTGAATATAACAATACAAACAGCAGATTGGAGGTTCTTATGCTCCTTTTTGGTGGTTACTGAAAAATGAACAAGGTGCATTACAAAGATCTTTTCTTGAATGTTAAGGGAGAAACTAGTTTGACAAAACAACAATCCAAAAGAGGAGGCATAGTAAGCGTGAAAGAGTAGTAAGAAACCGTTCGAGCTCTCCAGACCGGTCAACATATCTTTCCTTGTTGGTATTTCCATTACAACTCAAATCATTAAAAAAAGGAAAAAATATTTCTGCTTCTGAGATTCCCAAGTGCTGTTCCTGCTAAAGACAGGGAGTGTCGGAGCTAAACTATACACTGAAGCTATCCCCCTCTCCCAGGAAATGCAGTCTTGTTGCTGCTTGATGACAATGTCGTCTTGTTCAGACTCACCGTGTTCTGCAATGTAAGGCTGTTGATAACTTCTAGGGCTAAAGGGGATTGTTCTTGTCTCCTTGTACTTGCCCTCAAGCCAATGGGGATGATCTCATGAATCAATTAAGCCGGACGCCTTCTCAAAATGATTCTCGAGCTTAATTAGCATCTACCTGAACTGGATCCAGGCTGTATATGAAGTTCCATTTCTTAAATCTTACACATGTATATATGCCAAAACACTAGATCTCTACATTATATGCAGGTTCTTGGCTGATATGAAAGCGGAGTAATTTGTTCCTTCCTCCAATTTGGTATAACTAGCTGTTCTTTCTCCTTTAGATGTTTGTGACAGTTTGCTGCAGCCTGCACTATGTTTGAGGTAAAAACTCTACTGCAACTTCAGTTACCAGTTCCATATTCAACTCGCAATTGTGTTTTCTTTCTGACTTAAGCTTTTCATGAATATGTTTTCTGTTTCTTTCTGTTATGTGTTATGATGGGAAAGTTTGAGAAGGGAGATAAAGAGAGGAGGAAGCAGGAGAGGGAGAGACTGAAGCAGGAGAAGAAGTGGAAAAAGAAGAAGGAGAAGAAGAGGAACAAGAGGAATAGGAAGAAGAACAACAATGGGAGTAATGATGGTGGCTCGTTGCCAAGGTTTGGGGACTGGGATGAGAGCGATCCATCATCAGCAGACGGTTACAGTGCCATATTCGACATCGTTAGGAAAGAGAAGAACACTGGGTTTTGTGTTAGGAATATGTCCTTCAAGCTGGCTGATCAAATCAAAACAAGGAGGAGAGGCAGGCTCCGCCGTTTCCTCAAATCTTTGAAGGTAAGCAGTGTATATCAAAATTTCCTAGTAAACTTTTACAAGTTTACGCTTTGAAGAGTTTACTTAATCAAGTACGGTTGCTGTCTGTTATAGAATCTTTCGCTTACTCCATGTAGAATCCAAAGGTTTCAACAGGGTATGAATGGAAGGGTGAATTCTTGTGGTTGTTGCAACTTTGAGAAGAGGGATTTTGCTTTTCAAACTTCGAGTATTCTTTATTCACCGATTTTAGCAGATTGATTTTAAGATATGCAGCATGACAATATGAAAAGTTAACATGATCCATGAAATCTTGCGATTTTCTGTTCTCCTTCTACACTCCCAACTCTGTCCCGTCGAATCTGTAGTTTCTCACCAACTTAGAAGTTAAGTAGTACAATAGTACTGGTCAGAACTGGTTTCATATGATGAGGTTCTTTGGTTGATTTATCCAGTCCCTGATGTTTTTGCAGAGATGGTGGAGTTGCTTGTGAAAGAAGTTTGCAGAGGGAGGTAGGAGAACAGTGGATCAATCAATGGCTAGCAAGTTTTGATGCTGCCTGCCTTTGTGTTTCTACCCTGCTGTGATGTTTGGCTTAAGAAAGAAGGGATCCATGTTGGTTATATATGTTGATTTTTATTCGTTTTAGTGCAACACCTTTCCCCCTCTTTTGGGGGAGCTATTATGTTTTATTAGATGGCCGCAAATCTCATGTCTTTATGTCTTGATAGAACTTATGGGTTCGAATTGCAAACAGTTGGCTCGAGTTTGAACGATGTTGTTATTTCTATTCACGTAGGGGATCGTGAAAGAAAGGATCAAACTTGGGGATGTAGGTTGCCTCCTGGTAAGAACCAGAGCTTGTTCATCATGTATTACTTGCGTTTAAAGAAATGGGTATAAGGGATTTAAATAAAAGGAGCCTGCTTGTTATGGTGACGTTTTTCGTTTGATCGTCTCATTAGGTACATACGATGGTTCTTGCAAGGATGGGCATCCAGCTCATAAGAAGTCAAACGAGTGATATAAAATCTGTCCTGTAACTGTAAGGATGGTTCTTGGATCCAACAATATCAGAAACAATCTCAAAACGATCTCATGCATCGAACAATTTTGTACTCAAGGGCTTGACGAAGTAACCAAACCGTTGTGATATCTGCAGTCATTATCGAGGAGTATATAGTTGCATGTTTGTGTTCTGTTCTCCCCTCGATCGAGCTCAGTTCCCGGTGCTGTTGACGATCCCATCCACCATGACCAGTTTGAAAAACTAGGCTACTCTGGCTGCAATGCTCGAGAGCGATCCTCAGATTCATAATTGTTGGTAAATCACTACAGCTTTTACTTTGCACTATGTACAGACTTTACTGTAGCACCTAGTAGCAGGCCAGCATTTTTTTGATGAAGGTGAAATTAATTAATAGAATCCAAAACGTCAAAAGAACAACAGACAAGGAAAAGAGGAAGAGAGGTGGATCAAAAAGGCTTGATCCCAGACCCGAAACAAGGAAACAAAAGGCGAACAAAAAGAAAAGCAGAAGAGCTGCTAGGAGGACCAAACCTCCTCTACAGCCAACGAGAAGAAAAAACAACTCCAAAAACAAACAACACGAAAGGACGAAGCGAGCGCCCAAGAGTGGCGAAGCCCCCGAGCACACTAACAGAAGAATCAAGCTCAACCCGAGACCAAATGGAAACCACCTGGCCCACGCGGGGTAGGCGAACAGGTCCCAAGCCAAAGCCACAACAGAAGAACACACAGCTGCTAAAGGAGGAGAAGAGAGCAGGACCCCAAGCCAACACGTTTAGTGCCTACCCAACAACTCCTCAAGACTCCTCTTGCCCTGCTCCTTGTCCACTTTGCCACCTGCAACCGCCCACTCCACAACGTCCCTTAGAACTTTCCGAGCCACAAACTTGGGCTGAAGACGGGCCTCCCTGAAAATTCTGCTGTTACGTTCAAGCCAAACCTGCCAACACACAGCATGCATCGCACCATAACGGATCCAACTCGCCACATTATCATCACACTCAGTGGGCCACCTGGAGATAACTTGGGTAAGTATCATTCATAGTTACTTAGTTTAATATGAAATAACTGCAGTACAAGACAAATCATGAAAGTCGAGCTGAAGTTTTCATGGACGCATTGATGTGGTCATGTGCATTAGCAAGGTAGGTTCCACAAGATAGGTTTAATTTTTTTGCTGAGTAAATAAGATTGTATTTCAACTAAATTTAGAGTATGCTGGTTGATAAATAATTTTTTCATTGCATAGAGAGTATGGATGAAAATTATAATTTTCTTACTAATTTTGTTATTGTATTGTGCAAAATACTTTAAGGTTAGATTCCGTTATATATGTATTGTTTCTCAAGCATAAGAAATAAATATTGAATAAAGGTTATGGTCACGATTTTCCTATTTATGCTATGCTTTTGTAGACAAACTCTTTTTTTATGCCAATTTTCTTTTTAGTCATAGGTAACTAAATGATTACATCATTAAATAGACAAGTTATGAATGGTTATTCATGAGTGTTATAACCAAGGTTGTTATAGCCCTACCGGGAGACTGGTTACTAGGTCCGACAAAAGTCGTGTTCCAAAACAGACTCTACAAAACCAAGTGTCTGATCGTTAGAGAGGGAGAAGAAGAGAGAGGGAAGAGGGAGTGGGGAGAGAGGCAAGAGGATGGTGGGTGGATCTTGAAATAAGTAGGTTTTCTTATAGAATTTGAGTTTTTAATAGATATAAGTTATTACATTCCATTTCAGTCACTAAATTTCTATCATATATGTAAATATATTTAGAAAAGGTGTAAAATGGCTCAAACAGGTTTGACCTCAATCAAACCATTAAACTTCAAACTACTTGCTTAACCGGCTCAACAATTTAAACCGGTTTGACAACTTTGGTTATAAAAATTAGGCAAAATTCATCTGTATAGCCAAAACTTTCACGTTTGTGACAATAATAGCCATTTTTGGCGAAATACCAAAAATAGCCAAAATTTTGAAAGTTTCATGACAAATATAGCCATTTCCGTTACATATTTTAACGACGTCAGTGACACTGTTAGTTAAATTAACAGAACGCTTACCTAGCTGCAAACTCACTGACACATCATTGACAACTCACCAACACTTGTCACATGAATGCCATGTCATATTTTATTTTAAAAATGAATAAAAAATTGATTTTTAGCAAAATATATATTTTTAATTCTTATGTTCTCCCCCACACTTCATCTTCTCCAAGAGGATATTACCAAAAAAAAAAAAAAAAAACTCTCCAAGAGGAGATTGACGAATCCCCTGCTATGGTTTCCCCCGACTTCCCCCAACTCTAATATCTCCCACAATTGGATCCAGTGGCGGACCCAAATAATTTTCATAGGGGTGTCCTCTTTTAAAATTAAATTAAATTAAAATAATTAATAATTAATAATTAATAAAAATAAAATCATAAATTTGAAAATACCTTACTCGTAAAGGTTAAAAAATTCCATGATTTGTTTTCATATTCGTACTTATCGCATATTCGATTTGTAAACTTGTTCTCGATGTAACCCGAAGTTGAAAAACTCTTTCAACACTCGCCGTATTAAGGGTAGTTTGAAATTAGTTTAATTGTTAGGTTTTTATAATAATTAGAGATAGGAAATGACATTTTACTATTACATTATTCAAAATCGAACAACAAATGAGTTGTAGGTCAACGAAAATTAAGTTTATTAATAAGAATAGTGTTCTAGATTTGAATTACCCAATCTACCACTTATATTCCTATACACAAATGACAGTAGGATAATCATGTTTTCAAATTTCAGGGGTGTCCCTCACTGTCAATTATATATTTTTTTTGTTCATATGTAAATTACTACCAGGGCTGGATAATCGTATTCCCAAAATTTAGGGATGTCCGGGGACACCCGTAAAACCCCCTGGGTCCGCCCCTGATTGGATCTCCTAGCTTTAGGTTCTACCCCCAGCCTCTTCACTTCCCGTTCGCCAGCTGCGGAAACTCTCCCCACCTCACCACAGCCATCGCCGCCATCACGATGCCCAACTCTGTGCCGCTCCGTCGCCGTTTCTCTGTTCACAACCGGAGAAGAAGACAAAGGAGGAGGAGGCGAACGATGAGAGATCAGCTCCATCCTCATCCACGAGCTTTCTTTCACCCGGCTTGAACCCTACCGACTCCGATTGTGGCGCCATCAATTGATTCTTAAAACTTCCCCTACTTCGGAGCCATCGGAGATCAACATTTGGTCTCCAGATCTGTTGCGCCACTACGACGGAGAGAGATCTCGTCACTCACAGTAGATCTACCTTCCTTTTTCTCCAATCACCGCAGATCGACCTTATTTTTTCTCCACTTTTCCATATCCACCGGAAAAGCGATCCCGCAGCCGCACTCGCTACCCTCTGGAAGATTCAACCGATGCAAGAGAGGAACCAAGTTCTAACGGTGGGATTCCCAGATGACGCCCGACCAACTGTTGGTGTTGTCGATATCGGCGTTGATGCGATCCGAACCTGGCCCAACACTTGATGGCGGAGCCTAAGGAGATCATTGCAGAATCAATGGTTGTTAAACAGTCGGCGACCTTGTGAGCTTTGAGGAGGAGTGCCTAGGTTACCCCTTACTTGGCATTTTTGTTGTGAGATTCGTCTCGGTTACACCTTGGAAGACTCTACAGGGATGGCGGTGGTGGTGAGAGAGGGACAAGCACTAATGGAAGGTTTCAAAATGGTGGTGGTGGTATGGACGACAGAAGCTGGGTAGGGATTGATGTGGAGGGTTTCAGAACTTTGATTGTTATTTTTTTTTTGTTTGGGTTATGGAGGGTTTCAATTGTGGTGATTGCAGAAGAGGAAGCTTCTAGGAGCTTTAGGGAAGTATTGATGAAGGGGAGGTGAGTAGGCGGTGGAGACTGGAGAGAAGAGATTTGTTTTTATTGTTTTTATTTAATTTGATTAAAATAAAAAGATAAAAGTTTGATTATTTTTCACTTAACATTATTTTTGAATAAAATATGCCACGTCAACCGTTGTTGTTAGTCCAGTCAGCACGTTAACTAACACCGTCAAACAATTGGACGGAAGTGGCTATTTTTGGTATTTTGCCAAACGTGGCTATATTTGGCCAAACCGTCAAAGTTTTGGCTACACAAGTGTATTTTGCCTAAAAATTAAGCTTACAATGTTTATCATTGATGAAAATTTATAAGAATTCCGAAAATGGAAAAATAATTTCGATGTCACCTTAATGTCATACGTAATTTAGTATTTCATGTAATTTAAAAAATTTAAATACACATCATACATATTGTATTCAATGACATTCTGACCAACGGGTCAAACAACAAGCTAGTTAAATATTGAGTGTTTGTGTATTGGCTGTGATTTTTTCCAGTTTTTTATTTTTTGCCAAACAAAAAGCGACAAGCACAAAGAGTTTGGGACCGAAACAAAAAACGATAAGAGCACCTTATCTATTCGTTTAGTTGAAATAAAAAAAAATTGAATCCAAACTGATAGTCCTATATATGGCACACTTTGCCATCTTTCATTTTTTTTTTATCTTCAATTATCCAAAATCTCAATTAATTGATTTTGACTTTTTTATTGTTGCTATCAGGGAAGTAGACATTGAGGATGATGAATTCATTTTCTTTTTATTACATATTAGGTCAGGTGTCAACTACTTGAAGGAAAGCTCTTTGTGTGGTTGGGTTTAGCCGTTGAAAATCACTAACATGATACCACAAGAATATGAGAGATTCAAGTTCTTTAGGTTTGATGAAAATGTAGTTTAATGTTACATGAAATGAATTAACTGAACTTCAGCGAGGATGAAAGGGTTTGTCATCTTACCCCCATCCCTCACATACACTCAAATATATTAAAAGAAAAAGTCTTTATTATTTGATCAACGCTATAATTATATGTATGACTAGGGTGGGAGATTGCTTTGTATAACCAAATCGAACCAAAAATAAAAACAAAAAATCGAAACAAGTAATTCCTAAAAAATGAACTATTAAGAGGCTTAAACAGTTCAATTTGATTTCAAGAAAAATAAAACCCGAATGAATTTAATAATGACAAAAATTCATCTACTAATATATGTTGCTCACTATGCACATCTTACTTTCTTTTCCCCATTTACAACGTGGTCTTATTGGTGGTTGTTGGTCATGAAACTTAGTGTTTTATATTGCAATGGATTTGGTTAATTTGTTCCACTGTTGAATTGTTAAGTTTTGCTACATATACAGGTGATTGCTACAATTCTATCATTTTGCTTCCATCTTTACTTACTTGATCAGATTGTGTATCCAACGAGTTAACTGGTTGATAGAACTTGGATCCGAAAAATTATATTATGAATGTTCTTTATTTTTTGCTTAATAAATTGGACTTGCAGGAGACAACGCTTATTGGTGTCTTAAGTTGTATGGACAATGAGAAAAAAATTATTTTTTGGTTAGTGAATTAGAGGCAAGGTGTTGTATATGTTAGGCTTATGAATAATAATCATATGTATGTGTTCACTTTTAGTGTTGAATTTGTTTATCATATGGATATGCAATCTTTCCATGTAGTCGTTAGTTCATGGTATATGTTTTATGATCCAAGTCAGGGTTGTGTTCGATTGATAAGCTTCTAACTCTCTTCCTCACTCAAAACAAGTTGAATGTTATTATTCAAGGAAAAAAAAATATTAATTTTACCCATTTTCTCCAAGAGTTTTTATGATATGAGTTGTGACTTGTGATGGTTAGGCATAGATTTCCTATTTATGCATTGTTCACAAAATACACAAACTTAATAAATACGTTAATTCTCCATTTTATTGGTGATTAGGTAACTAAGTATTGTTGGAAATCATCACCAACTAAAAAGATGGTTAATAATATAATGGATGGCGAAAGAGATATGAGGTATCAAAAGCTACTTCACAAGCAAATAAGAGTTTTTTGTTCCCAGTTTGTTTGGACCTACGAAGGTTCTAATAAAGCATGATGATTGTTTCTTACACTAATGTCACATGTAGAACAATTTTTTTTATCATTTTTTAATTTATTTTATTTAACATCTATTGTGTACTTCATTGTTTTTCTTTCATTTCGTTAGTTCTAAGGAAAGACCAATAGAATGAACTATTATTAGGGGTCTAAGTGAATCGGGGTGAGTTGGTTTTGAACCCTTTCAACCATGCAACTCATATGCCTCAGGTCAAGTGATGAACGACCCAAATCAAATCATAAGACACATAAATCCATGTGTTTCGGGTGATGCACGCGTCGAATTGGATTGATACTAAACATGTCTATACATTAACCAAATAGGGCCGGACCTCGGTTCAGTTTATGTTAATCAAACCGAATTGGTTGGTTATCCAAAATTGAATTATTGTCATTTTAGCAACCGTAATTGCTTTTGTTGCGGTTACTTGAGAACCGAATATTATGATTTTTGGTTATGTTGCGGTTAACCGTGTTCAACCAATTAACCTATTTGTCATTCTTTTTGGTTTAGATTACCTAATGGGGTAGGCCATTGACCTTTGCAGTAGTTTAATTTTGTGATTATCTAGGATTTTTGTTTTCCAGTTTGGTGTGTTGTTCACAAAACACCAAAGATTACCTAAAACCAAATATGCAATTATTCTATTCCTTCATTTTATTGTTATCGATTAACTATTAATTGCAAAGTTCGAATGTAAAGTTTGAATCCGATTTCAGTTAGCTTGCATGACCATTACCAATTTCTGCCCTATAACAAAATACTCTCTGCGTAGCTGCGGGTATTGATTCTACAGGCAAATAATGATCGCAGGCTAACCCTGGTGCGAGCCATTATTATCCACATTGCAACATCTTATTAATGAGCTCAAAAGGGGCAAAACCCATCTCTGCAAAAGTGACAAAGTTGCAGTTGAAATTCCAGCTCAACATTAAATGAATGGAGATAGTTGGGTTGGGTGAACCCAAGAGTTGGTTGCAGCAGTTATTATTCACAAATTAATGAAGAAGCTATTGCAGAAGAACGGACAACGGGGGAATTACCAAAGCAGACCAGTTGCCCTTTTGTAACCAATAGCAGGGGATGCAGCAGAAGCAGAGATCGGTGGATGGATCGGAGCGGCGGCACATTTACTGCCATCACATCATAATATGTCAACCCTTTAATTTCTGCAGGTAAATATGACACAGTAATTTATTATAAAATGCACATAGCAAGTTGATTCTTATTAACCAATTTTTGTTCAAATGTGAGAAAGTGCTCACAAGCGCGCAATGAATCTGGAGCGCGATTGGACGGTTCAAATCACGTATGAAAACGTTCTCACAAATGGGTTGTGGAGTGGACAATATATATGGCCAGCTGGTTGCTTAGTTATTAACATATCTTGTTAACTTTCTCGTTACACATACAGTAGTGTTCTTGCTAGGCATTTAAAATTAAGATATTAGTTCATTTCAAATTTCATATGACATCTACCAATGTTAGCCGTACCAAAATATATATATACCTTAAAAGCGTGTGCAATTTGTGAATTTTGTATCTTCCTAAACTCTAGTACACTTTCAATTCCTCAAGGTGTATATTAAATCAAGACATCGATCAATTGATCTTCATATAGCTAGGCTTAGCGATGACAATGGGGCGAGGCCGACTGTACGTACCTTCATGTGATAACATGTGTGGCAATTCTTATATGTTATTTGAAGAAAGTAACGCCAATATTTAACTATTTTATAAGAAGGCGTAACGAAAACATCTCATAAGCAAATCAGAGATATAATAGTAAGAATAATGAGTCGAAATAGCCAGAAAGATATAAAGAGGAGAAATACAACGTGCACGTATTGATACAAATCATGATAGAAAGGAGCGAGCATGTCAAAAGTATTACCCATACTTTGTCCACACAATTGCAAATCAAGTAATACCCCCTCAAACTAATAAAAAACAGTTCAAATTGCATTGATCAGATCAGAAATACCTATCAGCAACTAGGCTCACTCACTAATCACTATATATGGTAGGATCAAAAAACCGTTGGCAACTACTACATATATATAGAGAGGCCCACTTGGATGATCCACTTAATTCCCACCATATATATATATAATAAGCCAGCTAGCTACCAATTAGTACCCATCACCATTAACAACAATCCATCCCCTACAATTACAAACCTTCTACTTCTTCCATACTTCCACATTCCCTTAGCTTCGTACGTACCATCACTCTTAACTCAAAAAATGAACTTCTTCTGCCTTGTCAGCTTCCTAACTTCCCTGGGCTTACTCTCCTTCCTCCGCCACCTCATAATCCCTCTCTTCACTTACCTCTTCGCCACCACATTTCTAGCCACCAAACCGGCGGACCTCAAAACCAGGTACGGCCCATGGGCCCTCGTCACCGGGCCGACGGATGGCATCGGCCTGGCCTTCGCCGTCCAGCTGGCCCGACTGGGCTTGAACCTCGTCCTCGTCGGGAGGAACCCAACCAAGTTGAAGAGGGCCTCGGCCCGAATTTTGTCCGAGGTGGCTTCCGGCGACGTTGAGATCAAGACGTTGGTGGTGGATTTCGCGACCGATGAACAGCAGGACGTGGAGAGAGTGGTGAAGGATGGAGTTCGGGGGCTGGAGATCGGCGTGTTGGTGAACAACGTCGGGATCACGTACCCTGGAGCCAGGTAGGGATGACAATGGATTGCGGTGGATCGTGTTTTTTACCAAATTTTCTGTAAAATACTCGTATCATTTTTTTCCATTCAAGTTTAGAACTCAAATCCGACCTAATCCGTCGATTTTAAAAGCGGGTAAAATTCTCACCCAACCTAAACTCAACCAATATTGAATATAAGGGTGCATAGGTTCTTTTGATCTTTTTTTGTTAGGTAATGCTAGCTACTTAAGCGATTTGAACATATGCGACTTCCATATTCAAGACTAATGGTATATACTGAGCCCTTATACGCCAGCCAATAGGAATGACAATGGGCAGGCCTGGGGCGGGTATCTCGATACCCATACCCGCCCCGTGGCAGGTCGGGTATATGTTAGGTAATTTATCATGGGGCACGGATAGGGGCAGGTCGACCCAATGAGTATGTAATTTATATGAAAAACATTAGAAATATTCGTTGTTTATTTAAAAGACGAAGAAACAAACCATAATATAATAAAATATAGTTAAATTATTAGAGAAATTGAGTTTTTCACTTATTTACAACTTCACTATAGCTAAAATATGAGATAATATAAGGAAAATCTTAAGTAATTTTATTAAGTTTACATGTGATATAGGCAAGAATAGATCGAGAATGGTGCGGGTCAGGACAGGTCGGGTCGATAAGTGGTACCTAACGAAACAAGCCAAACATATCGGATAAAACGAGTCAGGTCGAAATTACCATCCTACACGCTAATACTGAATTTTACCACTTTTGACTAGGTTGTATCGGATTGAGTACCCCACATGTTCAGAGTCAATTAATGTTGTGTGCAGGTACTTCCATGAGGTGGAGGAGAAGGTGTGGATGGAGATCGTGAGGGTGAACTTGGAGGGGATGACGATGGTGACGAGGGCGGTGTTGGGCGGAATGGTTGAGAGACGGAAGGGAGCCGTCGTCAATGTCGGCTCCGGCGCCGGCACGGTGCTGCCTTCCCATCCTCTCTACGCCGTTTATGCCGCCACTAAAGCGTAAGTCGTTATAGCTATTAGCTAATGCATAATTATAAGGGTTTGATAATTACCCCTTTTGATTCTCTTAATAATTGTGTGTATGCATGCCGTGGTAGCTAGCTAGGCACGTACCATCATATAAATAAATACATGCATTTAAAAATATGCAACTCAGCCACATGCAAGGCGGGGCTCGTAGATGATAGTGAGCGGTCCATTGTTAATTGCGACCACATACTTTTTGGGACCAACAGCTAGCCACCCAACCTGCACATGTGTGCGTAGTTCAATAATCTTTTCCACCACCGGCATTTTGATTAGGGCTAATTAATACGGCAAGTACTTCGGGTTTTACCCATATCCATACCCACATGTAAAACGGGTAGAAAATTAAAATCATGGTCATACCTGTTCGGGTTTCGGGTATCCACGGTTATCCATGGGTATTAAATTTCTCTTCGTAACTCCAACCAATATGTTAACATTCACACGTATTCTTACATTACGTAAGAGAAAAAGTACGACAAGAATTCACTAGAATAAAGAAAATTAATTAAAACAACATAATTTCATGAAAATATTATATTTATATGCTAAATATAAAATATGTTAGAGAAATATAATGATTATTTCTAGACAAAATACATATGTATGTGTATAATCGGGCGGGTTCGGGTCGGATAGTGAGAAACCCATGTCCACCCATTACCTGCAATATTCGGGTTCGGGTTTTACCCGTACCCACTAAATGTTCTTCGGGTTCGGGTTTTACCCTACCCGATTATGCCAGATTCGGGTGGATATCCACGGTTACGGATATTTTTGTCATCCCTAGATGTTGTTATAACTTGAACTTTTTGACCCAGTAAGTTTAACAGATCGAGTTACGTAATTTTTATGTTTATTGTGTAACAATTATATACGTAAGACTTGTTAGTCTTACGTAATAGTTAAACCAGAAGCGTTACAGAAGGTTTCCATAATGACTTGACATATTTTATGTAATGCAAGGTTAATATTCATTTCGTAGAAGGATCGTCTATAACATAAGGCTTCTGTAATGACTTGACACATTACGTAACTTTAATTTGATTAATATTCATTACGTAAAAAGGACCACCCAATTACGTAAGGCTACCCGTGATGAAACTTTACAACTGTTAACTAAAATATACATATATTATGTAAACGTTAGGGGCGAATGACAGCTTTTCCTTACGTAAAAGTTAAATTAGAAGAGTACATAAGCTTTCCGTAATGAATCGATTTAATATGTTACGTAACGTGCGGTTAATATTTCATTACGTAAATTTTTATAAGAACCGAACCGGATCAATGGCTGGGTCAGTAGAACCGTCAAACCAGTTGCAAAAGCGGTCCAGTTTATTGCTTGGACGATTACAGAAGGACCAAATGATTTTTCACGGTTCAACATAAAACCAGGTCAACCACCACGGTTTAGTTGGTCCATTGGTTCACTATTTTAATTTTTAACCACACATTTTTTAAAAAGTACTTTAACATAAACTAAGACCATCAAGCCATAGATATTAATTTAATATCTGCTTACTCTTCTCATTTTCCAACCTTGTTGTCGACTTTACTTGGTCCATTACCGACTGGTAGCCATTTTTAACTTGAATTAAAAAAATTATAATTTCTTTTGTGAGACAACTTGAATGATTTATTAGACATTTTTGTGATGATATGAATTTCAAATTATTTATGGTCAATGATAACTTCATTCTAAAATTAGTGTAATATACAAGTCTTGTATGTTATATATCATGAACGGATAACCAACGGTTCTATGAACAGTTAACCAACGATTCTGTAACGGTTAACCACTGAACCGTAAACCACTAACTTTTCCGATTCGGCCTCCGGTCCGGTTCTAAACAGATGTAAAAAGACAGTTCATTATATGTAAAATAAACACATATTACTTAACCATTATGTAATGTCTATTGTATTTTACTTAATAATACTTGTGAAATGAGAAAAATCAAGTTACAATAAATTCAAGGTTTGTGATTGTTGGCTCTCTGATATAAATTAATTACTGCATGCTGCAGCTACGTGGATCAGCTGTCGAGATCCTTGCACGTAGAGTACAAACAAATGGGGATCGACGTTCAGTGTCAGGTGCCGCTCTATGTCGCCACGGAAATGACGCGAAAAGTGGCCATGATCCAGAAACCGTCGCTATTCGTACCGTCGCCAAATGCCTACGCGGCGGCGGCGGTTCGTCGGATCGGTCGGCAGCCTCGGTGCTCGCCGTACTGGGCTCACTCCGTCCAGTGCTACTTGGCCCGTCTCGTCCCGGAATGTCTCCTCGATGCCTGGCGCCTCTCCATCGGAATCTGTCGAAGGGAACTTGATATCGTCGCTCGGAGACTTGATGTCAGTTGAATTTATCGTGTGGTATATTTGGTATATTTGGTCCGGCTTCTAGAAGTGTTTTTTGGGTTCAAAAGCTGAAGCAAAGCCAAACATCTGTAAAAGCTCGGCTTTTGAAAAGCCGAAAAGCGCTTTTGTATAACATAAAAGAAGAAGCTCCGATTTGGAGCTTCTGCGAAAAGCTGTTTTGAAAATACAAGATTATCCTTACCATATTTTAATTTTATTTCAGAAAATATAATTTTCCTTCATTTATATCATTTTAAAAATAAAATAAATTATAAAATCATATTATTTAATATAAAAGAAATCTAACAAGATCCATTTTGACTACTTTTTATTGTTTATAATTTTTATTCATATTTTATATTATAAGTCCTTTATAGTCATTTTACACAACCTCTTATATTAAAAAGCATTTCTAATAGTTTTACAGTCAAACACCCAACTACTTTTTTTTTAAAGTACTTATCTAAAAGCTCTAGCCAGAAGCTGCTTCTGTAAAAAGCTACAGTAGGGCCAAACTAAGCTATTGATTAGTAAATGTGTGTTGAAATTGTTTGATTGGTGGATGGATGCGGGTCAGACAAGACATAATAGTCAACTTTCTTAAACCAGAACATGTACAAATTTAATTAGTTTAGTAAGGCTCAAGACAGGGTGCATAACCATGGGTTATGCATCAATTAATAATCAAATCTGGACCATTCATTTAGAAAATTCAGATATAAGAATGGAGAATTAAAGAACATTTTTATTTTCCCTAACTTTCTTAATCGGCTCATATCTTTTTCGTTTTAACTCGGATTTTAATTTTTTTGCACAGATAGAACGAGTTCATCGTGCTCTACAAAATGAGATCAATTTTTAATATTTTTTAGAACAAAAAATTCTGGCCTCTCGGTACCACTACATACCATATGGTATTTTCTTCGTTTTTAATTCGTTTTTGAAAACATTTGCACAGAAGGGACGAGTTCGTCATGATCTATTGGATCTAAAAATTTAAGGGTGAACAAATTACAGTACCAAAAAATACCACACAATAACATACAATACCACCCTGGTACGGGGTGGAATCTTATGGTACACAATGTTAAAAGTCGTAAATGACAGTTAATATATTTCTACTATCATGTATTCAACCATCCTACAGTCTTGGTTTGTTCATACCACCATGGTACGCTTTTCAAACCATATGTATGCTCTTATTTTAATACCAGTCAATACCATATGGTATAGACTGGTAAAAAATGGCTCAATTTTTTTGTTTGAAAAATATATCAAAGTGGATATAATTTTGAAGAGCACAATTAATCTGATCTAACTGTGTAAAAAAAATCGACTTAAAACGAGTGAGAAATCGTCCGTCAAATATTTAGGAGTGGAAAACTAAAGGCTTTCAGGAGAGAGATGGATACTGATGTCATGCTGATGTGGACGGATTACTCATAGTTACTCACCGTAAGATTACTGACCTGATCCATTCCCGTTCAGTAACGAAGAGCCTGGGGAGTTGTGTCATGAAACGATACTAAACCTTCGGATCATTAATTCAGTCTTCTTGTTCATGGGATCAGATTGCCAGCAAAGAGTATTGGAATTAGGGTTCATGTGAAGGCTTGGAAAAGGGTAAGGTGTGGTCACACTGAGCACGAAGGTCTAGCCTTTGAATGAATTCATGGGGTGCTCGTGTTCCTGGAGTGATAATCAAAGCCAGAACACTGAAACCACGGTTTTATATATGTTACTTTCGGGAACATTCAAGTACACGCCGCTGTCTTTTTTCTTGCAACTTGAAGCCTGTAGGTAGGAGTGGGATTCGGTCGATAAACAATTTACCGTTTATCGAATTTATCGATTTCGGTATACTGAAGTTGGCCAAACTGGTTACCGATTACCGATATCGGTTTGTAACCGGTTTATCGATTACCGAATTACCGGTAAACGGTTACAAACCGGTATTACCGGAATACCGTGAGAAGCGATTTCGGGCGATTTTTCAACCGAATTTCTGGAAGTGGGGTGATGTTGTAATATTTTGATTTTTTTGAGTTTTTTTCATCATTTTTATAATTAATAATTTATTATTAACTCTTATTTACAATATTTTTGAGGCCTATACTTACATTGATGTATGTAATATTTTATATTTTTGGGGGTAAAGCAACAAAACGCAGAGCATCACTAGGGAGTAGTGAGGGGGGATTGGGTATCGGTAATACCGATTTACCATCGGTATTTACCGATACCGTGTTCGATAAACCGACTCCCTTAACTTCCTGCTCGGCTGCCGATACCGCCGGTAAACGGTTCGGTAAAACGGTAAACGTTTGCCGGATTACCGTTTACCACCCCTACCTGTAGGAGCTAGCTAGTAGAGGGACATTGATGCGTGTGTTTGCTTGGACACAACAATTGCATTTCTTTCAATAAAACATGTACATGATGCGTTGCCGGTGCAAGAAATCAAGAATCGGCCTATGCTTTTAGAGGAATTGAGATAGAGAATTAAAGGAAAGAGAGATTGTTTTTTGAATACTTCTTTGTTGAATGGCTGATTAAAATGTAGAAACAAATTACATATTCATAGGAGAACTGGAAAACCTAGTCATTTACCAATCCTATAAGAATAGGTTAACTTAATCTCAAAGAAACTACCCTAAACACTTTAATAATTAATACGATTCCTAAACAATAACGAAAACCAACTCACAACTTAATAATAATAATAATAATAATAATAATAATTGGTGGCCGAAAATGATAATGCGTCAATCCTCCCCACTTCGAAGAACTTCGTCCCCGAAGTTCAAGCGACATCTCATCCCAGATCGATGAAAAAGAAGCTTCCAGAAAACTTGTAGTAAATGACAGTGAGAGTTGGTTGATGACGAAACTCACGCTTTCGATACTTCCAATTCAGCTTCAGCACCCAATCAATCCCTCCAACACTAGCAACTCGATCCAACCCCTTCTGAACTTCCCCCACCTTAGTCGAAACATCGGTAAGCTCCCGACTTGCTTGCGGTGCTAAGGTGGCTACCTTCCGTTATTATGAGAATGAGAGAATTCCCACCTCGTAAGGCTTGACACACAGCTCACATTGAGCGCCCTTCCTTTTCTGCCCATCGATACCCACCGAGGCTTCCCCCTTCCCACCACAAAACATGACGTACATATTATCCTCCCCCGGGTAATCGACCAAATTGCCCAGGTGACCATCGTCTCCCATGCGCATCACGTTCCCCCTTGTTGTCTCTGCAATCGATGTTCCCCGGTGGACGTTGATTAGAACGTTGCCCAAGTTTCCTGGCCCAGTTACCACGATTGTTCCAGATCCAGCAATCTCCCCTGTATTCGCAGCCTTGACCCCATACAACAGAGCCCCCGTCAAGGGTCCAGATCTGGTGACTAAGGGGGGTCCTTAGTTACTTGACTAAGTCTCCCTCAGCCTTTGGATTAATCATGGTCCAGATAAAGTAATGAATTATTATTAAATGGAAAGGGTAGTTTTGGCATTATCAGAAATTCATTAACTCCTATTTTCGGTTTTGTTTTATTTATTATTATTTCATTCTTTTTTTCCTCCCCAGTCGTCTCCTCCTTTCCCCTTTCTTGCGATGTCTAGAGAGAGAGCGAGAAAGAAAAACATGGTGGAGGAGAGAGATCCCAGTGCCAGTGGAGGAGAGACATCGTAGCGCCGGTGGAGGAGAGAGAGAAAGAGAGAGGTGGCGACGTCAGCGGAGAGAGAGATGATGGCGGTGACGATGGCAGGAGGAGAGAGGTGATGTCAACGACAGTGGTGGAGGAGAGAGAAACATCGCCAAAGGCAGATTTGATAGAGAACAACAACGATGAATGAGAGAGAGAGGCGGCAGCGGCGATAGAGAGATAGAGAGAGGGGCAGCAATGGCGGTGGAGAGAGATTCCGCGGCGGCAGCGGTGGAGAGAGATTCCGCGGCGGCAGCGGCGGAGGAGGCGAGAGATTCGATGATATTGATTTGTAATGCAAGTGTTATACATTTGTATTGTTAGTATCTTTATACATAATGTCATTGTGATTTGTAATGCAAGTGTATTGTTAGTATCTTTGTACATAATGTCATTATGATTAGTATATATTTGTAATGTAGTTTGTGTGCTTTGTATATTAATTTGTATACTTTATATGTATTGATTTGTGATGCAAGTCATGTCGGTTTGTATTGTAAGTAATGATAATTTATACTTTTAGTATGCTTTGTGTACAATGTTACTATCATTTCATTACAAATTATTATGTTTACAAATAAATCTTACAAATATTATAAAGCAGATTGATGACCATTACAAACCATTATGATAACCATTATAAACCAGACAAACAAACATTACAAACTAAACTAACAAACATTACAAAGTCAACTAGGTTGTTTTTTAGGCATAAAAAACATTACAAACATGATTGACAAAATGACAAACATGTTGGACAAAAATAACAAAGCTTACAAACATTAAAAAAGAACCCAACAAACATTACAAAAATAACAAAGTTTACAAACATTACAAAACAAATCGACAAACATTACAATACATACTAACAGTACAAAATGTCACTACTAACGATACAAATCAGTAAACTTGTATTACAAATCAATAAATATAAAGTATAAAAATCATAACATAAAGTATTCAAACTAGACAAACATTACAATTTACAATATATACAAATTAGTCATATAAACATTACAAACATAATAGATAAAAAAATGACAAACTATAATAATAAACGATACAAACCAGATTCATACAAAATTACAAACCAGACTTAAAAACATTACAAAACAGACGCTGTCGCTAGCAAATCCCCCATTGTCGGAAAATCCTCTTTGTCGCCGCCAAAAAATTCGACGATGACGAAAATTCTCTCTCTCTCTCTCTCTCTTGCAGAAGCAGGGAGAGGAGAATTCTCTAGAATAATGGACGGAAAAATATAATGGACTCCCCAATAATAGACAACGCTGGAAAAGAAACCCCGCCACCAGAAAAGAAGGCTCGTCGTAGGGAAGTGACCACTTGGAGGCATAAAAGCCTACGTCGGCCGCCGGGAATTTCACAGAAAAGGCCCGGCGGGGGGAGGGCGGAGGACAAGCAATTTTTTATTTTATTTTAATTATTTAATAAATAAACTATGTAATTACCACTTTACTCTTCATTAAACTAAATTAATTTGAACCATCAGATTATAATGAGACTCAGTGGCTGAGATTGACTTAATCATGTGACTAAGGGACCCCCCCTTAGTCACCTGATCGTAGCTCCCCGTCAAGCCTCCCATCGATAGTCCTATACAGCTGCGAACAAAACTTCGGCCTGCCGAGACATAAGAGTCACCACCGCCTTAAAGTTCTAAACCCACGTGGCCTTGCTTCTCCAAACTCAAGGCTTTCCTCGTAACATCAAGTTCTTCCTTTCGTTTCTAAAAATGGCCACCGTCCACAAATCCACCTATTGTTTGCGTTTTGAGATTCGAAGTTTCCGTCGGAGCTGGTTTTGGGAGCGATAGAGGATTAATTGGCGCTTTCGGCTGCAGGTCGTATATGGGAAATCCGTGATGATGGATTTTTGCATTTCGCATCAGATTGGAGTTCACGTCCAACTGCTTTGAGAGAACGTCACCTGGTCTCGCCCTCTTCCGGTACTTCCAATTCTATTGAATTGGCAGTCTAATCTGACTCATACCAGCAAGTGTAGTGGTAGCAGTGATGACAGCGGCAGACTGGACTTCATGCAGCTTGAACAACAACGGTGATGACTCGACAACTGGAAGCTTCTTGGCAGTGGTGGCTTCCAACTGCTTCGATAGCGAAAACATACGATCAGAAACTACCGCCGATGTTGGCGCATAGTATTAGGGACAACCGCTTCGCATTTTTTTTTCTTCCTCTTCTTACAATAGATGCTCCCCCCCCTCCCCTTTATGATGGATGCCGACATCTTCAATGTTTGGCGTTGCACTAGCATAGCCGTGACATGCTATTAGTGAGGTGAGCGATTCAACCACCTGGTGGCACGAGAGGGCAACCTCTCCTTCAATGGCGGGGAGCTCAATCTTCTCCTACCGGCCGCTTTCACGTCGAGTTGGTAACATGATATATTGAAATATCGTTGATGACTCGATATTTGCACATGTTTTCCCCTTTGTTTCTTGATTTTTTGAGCTTTAATTATCGTGTCTTTGGCCTATTTTACGCTAGGTTGTGTTCCTTTGTCACATTTCAGGTCCTAGCACATAAAGTGAAGCATAGGCGCAAGTTTCAAGTCAATCAGAGATCAATTGGCGATTCGGGAGAAGAAACTAGGGCATGACCTGAAGAAGAATTGATTTCTACCTCACTTTATGGAAAAAGAATCATGAAAAATTGTCATGAAAATAAAGAGGACGATACTACGAGCGTCTGGGATCAAACGGCGATTGATTCGGAGTCCGGATGAGGGAGAAACGAAGCATTGAATATAGGGGAACAGGTTCGGTAGTAAAACACGGGCAGACTACCCTAAAAACACGACCGTGCTTTATCTGGCACCCGCTAGTGTTTTTACTGCCGAGGGCATGTCGTGAGGGCTGCTGGGGGCAAAACACGGGCGGGCAAAAATAAAACACGGCCGTGTCCTCGACCGTGTTTTGCCCAGAATCGGGTTTTTGAGGTAGATTCAAGCCAAAGGAAAGGGAGAGCTGGGTTTTGGTTCCAAAACACCCAAGGGACGAACCCTAGAGAGAGAGAGAGAAACTTGGGAACATTCTTGGAGCTATTTTGGAGGATTTCTTCGACATTGGAGCTCGGGAATCAAGCTTGGAGATGGAGATTGAAGATCTAGATCAGATTTCTGCAGTCTCTCTCTTCTCTATGGAGTAACTTCCCTTCACTAGCTTTTGAGGAACCCTAGTTCCATGTGTTAGGATCTTTCTTGTATGGAGTTTTAGATGCTATATTGTTTGATTATAATCGATTGAGGCATGATTTATTGAGTCAATTGAAGCCTGATCATCTTCTCTTGATTTCTGCTTTAACCTATGATGGATAGAACCTGATTAGGTTAAGAGAGATCATTTCCCTTTTGTCTCGCATCTTTCACCAACCTACCCAAATCCCATTTTATTTTTCCCGAACCTATTCTTTCCCTCTCCCGAATCTTCAAAACCAAAAACCACCAAATCCCTTCCATCTTTCGTCGCAAATTAGCACCATCCTTTCCCATCTCTTACCCAAAATTTCCCATATCGATTCAGTTCTTCATGTGCCAGAATCACTTCCATCATTCTTATCTCCCTTTACCGACCCTCACTCTCTTTCTTATCACATCGCATCCCCCTTTCCCATTTTTCTACCCAGAATACCAAAACCCACAAATCCCTTATACCTTTTGCCGCCCAACATCATCTCCTTTGAGCACCGACAGATTCAGTATCACAAGTCGCGACCGTCCATCCGCTCGCCCCAGATTCACATAGAAGACGTCGACCAAGAAGGTCGAGAAGTCCTTGCTCTAGATCCAGTGAGCGATTCCTTCACCGAGCTATGAATCCAAGACATAGAAGGCAGAAGAGCCGCCACTGTTTCGTAACCTAGACCAACAACGTCGTCGTTGACCACCGCGCGACCCAGACTCCGGTAAGAGCACGTGAAGAGCCCAGTGGTTGAGAATCCATCGCTGCTGGTGGCATCGGACGAAGGAACCGCAGACAAGGAGCGAAGCAAAGAGAAAATCAGATCCGTTGACGGTAGATCTCCAAACCCGCGACAAAAAATCCAAGGGTGCAGAGGCGATGATGAGATCCAAATCTATGTTTCCTTTTTCACCGCGCGCATATGTACGTGGGCACCGGGCCGTGCCGCCCACGATCTAGCACGGAACAACACGGTTAGAGCATGACACGAGCACGGACACGAAATTAATGGGCCAGCCTGGCACGAGCACGAATAATTTATGGGTCGTGCCGGGCCTAAAATTCATGGGCACGGGCACGAGCACGGGCACGACATGGTATATAAGTGGGTCGTGTCGATCCTAATATTTTCGAGAATTTATTGAGTATAAGAACGGACATGGCACGAAAATAATATTATTTGATAGAAAATAAATATAAAAAGAATGATATGTCCAAATATAACAAAAAACAAGTAGAAAAATAATTATTTGTTGTTGTTAGAAGTGTCATAAAGATATATAAGTAATTACTAACATAAGTAAAAATGGACAAAAAATTAAACAAAGCCAAATCATACTCGCTATACTTCCAATTTTTTTTCCCCTTATTTGTTACTTTTCTCAAACATTATCGATTAATACTATCTTCCCCCGTCCATTTTACCTCATTTTTCATTCTCTCTTTTGTTTTCGTCCTTTTCATTAAACACGAATACGAGCATGGCACGAGCACGAATAGACACGACACGATTCAAATCGTGTCCGGGCCTGGGCCGGGCTTAGCAAAGTTAACAAATGGGCTTGCATGGAATGACACGAAAACTGACGGGTCGTGCCAAGCACGACACGAAATAAATGGGCTCGAAGCGTGCCCGTGTCGTGCCGGCCCAAACACGGCACAACGCCCATGTACACGCGCATACCACCGCCAAGGGGAGGCTAAGTGGAGGAGATTTCACCACCGCCAACGCTCGGTTGTTCTAAACCCACCAAATAACTCGCCAGGGGACGAGAAGCTTCCGAATCTGAAGTCACCCAGAGCCAAGAAAAAAATATATCACCTCCTCCGCTGGTCAAGCCCACAAAACGCTAGGACTGAAAGATCAGACCATTCAAAGATGACATCAAAGGAGAAGCGGGAAGCTGAATCCCTAAAGCCCCTAGAGGGAGACAAAAAGCATAATCCAACCATGAAATTGCTGAACCAGCACCTCCAACACAAGCCTGGAGTATACGGTCAAAAGGTTCTTCAAATTGAAGGTGAGATCCATGAACGTGAGGTTGGAATTAATCGATTGAATAGCCAGCAGAAGGCTACCGAGAATGAAGTTGTGGGTCTTGAACAAGAGATTGACCTGAGTTGTGTGTGTGGAATGGAAGCTTTTAAAGCTTTGATTGAGCAACATTTTGATGAGAAGAAAGTGATTAAAGTTGAGCATAATGGCCAGATTGTCCAGATTTATTACTTATAGGAAATCAGAGTCATGAATGTTTATTGATGGTGTTTTGTATGTCATTTTTCTTGTTGATTGTGAGCTCTCACAAGAATTAAGAGATGTTGAAGAAATGTTTCAGAAAAGTGAAGTAAGAGGAAAAGCAACAGCCGAAAGCACAAGCAACTGCCATCTATGTGTTTACAGAACAAAAAAAAAGGAGAGCTGCAAGTTCTGGCAATAGGAGATGAAGAAGCAGTGGGAAGTAGCAAAGAGAGCACTCCCCTGCTGTTCAGTTTCTTTTTTCCAGATGGAATGCTAGCTAGCAAAATCAGCAGCAGCATATCCGACCCATATTTCAGATGGAATGCTAGCTAGCAAAGTCAGCAATAGCGTATCCAGTCCACTTTGAAGATCCATCTGAAGCGGAAAAGCTGAAGATGTGAAAGTTCAGCCAGCTAGCCAAGATGCAACAACGTTTTCAATTGAAGGAATGCTAGCCAGCCAAGAAAAAAGCAGCAGCATATCCTGCCAAAATTGGAGAAACAGAAGCTACAAAGCTGAAGTTGAGGGTTGAGGAGTTGAAGAAGAAGAAAAAGAAGGAATGCAACTAGCCAAAGATGCAGTGGTATCACCTGTGAAGAAGAAGACTTCAACTAGCTAGCCACCGATACAATAGCTTTTCAGAAGATGAATAGGAAGCCAGCTAGCAAGAAGCAACAGATTTACCAATTGAAGATTGAAGAGAAGTTCGCTAGTCAAAGTGAAACAACATTCCAAAGTTAAGACAGTACTCTCTCTCCTAACTTGGGGTGCACATTCTATGCTCACCCGCTTGCCGGGGGGGGGGGGGGATCGGGAGATACTGAAAGATCGTCAATACTCAAACCAACGACCATGAATTTCAAGTGGATCGACAAGGTTTAGAGGAAATCATCATCATCAAGTTTAGTTTTATTGTCAATGTTGTTTTGTTTTATCTTTGTTGTTTTCTCCAAATGTAAGCTTACACATGTTGTCTTGTAGTGCAATACTTTGCCTATTTAAATCCAAGTATGAATGAGAATCACCCAAGGGTTCTAGGGTTCCATTTTTCACAACTCATCTTTGTTGTTGGTTGGGGAGATGGATTTGGTCACCGCATCCTTGGGCCAAACCTTGGCGTCGTGACTATCAACACTTATTTTCCCTATAATCACTTGCAATGTGACCCAAGAATCCTCATGCCAAACCCTCATGGTCGAGAGATCCCAATCAACAAGTATCAGACCCAATCTTCTATGCCACGGGATGCCAAGGACCACATCGAATCCTTGAATTGGAAGCTCCAGCAAATCGAATCCATTCAAGACACCGGCTAGGGCATGAACATAAATCTCTTCGTCAAACTGCTCGTGGTCGGAGCCGGGCGATCGTCCTCGACTCCTGGTGTTGTCATCATTGTTGTCAGCAACGCTTGGGCCTCGACAGAAGGTGGCTGCGTATCGACCTTGTTGTGGCGGGACGTGATGGCGGCGGTGGGTGCTCACAGGACCTATTCCCAACCTAGGTGGTCAAACGCTGGCGATGTCTGCCCTGGTTGCTGCGTAAATCTCGGCTCCGTCGAATCAGGCTCTGATACCAATTGATGTGTTGTCGGTACAAGCATCGTGTACGTCGAGAACCGGCTTAGGCCTTTAGAGGGATTGAGATCGAGAATTTAGAGGAAAGAGACATTGTTTTCTGAATACTTATTTATTGACTGACTGATTAAAACCTAGAAACAAAATACATATTTATAGGAGAAGAAAACCTAATCACTTACCAATCCTATAAGAATACGGTAATTTAATCCTAAAGAAACTACCTTAAACACTCTAATAATTAATACGATTCCTAAACAATAACCAAAACCAACTCGCAAACTAATAATAATGATAATGATAATGATAACTGGCGGCCGAAAATGATAATGCATTAGTACACCCCTTTTTAAGACAAGGATTGGGCAAACAACGCAACCGGTTTGGTCCACATCTGTCCCTTGTGTGTATATGGGTCATATGTATAAGTCATTAGGTGCCAAATAACTCCTCTGCAGTCCCAATAATTTACAAATTAAATGACTCATTATTTTGTCATAAACTTCTAATCTTAACCCTCTCATTTTCTTCCCATATACTCAATACATATATTCTTCATTTTTGTCTTCATAAGTCAAGTACTTTCCAATTATTTACAAACAATACTTTCCAAATATTTTCATTAATATTTTTCAATTGTTTATAGTGAAATAATCTTTGCTAATCTGAAGACCGGTTTAAATATAGGTCATTACAATTTGTGAAGAAAGTTATCATGAAATTATTATTCAAAAATAAAAATTATTACTATTATATGTGGCTAATATACAAATAATTGTTACATGTTAGTTGCAAAATATATTTATTTCCGTGGTTAACTTTGTTATGATAGCAAACAAGAAAATAAACATATTACATGTAAAAGCAAAATGATAACATTATACAAATAATTAATTGAAAAATGAATCATTTAAAATTATTTTATCAAACAAAACATTTAAAAAGGTCTACATTTGAAAAAAAAAAAAAAATACTCTAAGCAAATGACCATAAGGCCACTTGCTACCCTAAATGAACCATTAGGAATCCTTCAAACTTGAGAAGCTCACAATTTTGTATTACGACGTCGGATTGATCGCAAGTTTTCTTGCTCCTTTACTACAATTGTTATTCAGGAAATTTTTCCGAACATAGTTCGATCACCGTGGTCTTAAAGAGTAAGCACATGTAATCAAATTGAGTGAATATAGGTTAGAGGATGTGGGTCATCTGATTTAACAGAAAATGATCATGACATCCATAATGATTGCAACCTAGCCCTGGGGCAAGCCATTATATGAATCCACATTGTGACAGCTTATAAATGAGCTCAAAATGGGCAAACCTATCTCTGCAAGAGTGACAAAGTTGCAGTTGAAATTCCTGCTCAACATTAAATAAATGGAGACAGTTGGGTGGACACAAGAGTTAGTTGCAGCAGCCAGCAGTTATTCACAAATGACCAAGCTACTGCATGGTGGTGAAGCAGAAACAACGGGGAATTACCAAAAGCGTGAGTAGTTATTAAATCTGACCACAACAAACAGAGCTGACACTCTCATTCAGCCTGTGCGACGACCTTTGTAACCAGTAGCAGTGTAGCAGAACCAGAGATCCGTGGATGGATCACAGTGGCGGCACATTTCCTACCATCACATCATAATATATATGTCAACCCTTTTCTACAGGTAAGAAGAATGAGCTAGCAATTGAGTCTAAATAGTTGAAAGATAGAGTTTTACATTTTCTTCTATATGAAAATATAATTTTAGAAAGGTGAAAAAAGAATAAACATATATAAGTAAATATTGATGCAAATCATGATAGTCGAGAACGAAGCGAGACAAGATGAAAAAATCTGAAATTATACCGATACCCCACCCCATACTATCGCAGATCGAATAATATCGCATACGCATAGCACAGAGTCTATTCAGAAATTGCCATCAAACACTAAATATGGTAGGATCAAATTGGGTATATACAAAAGCCGTTGGCAACTACTACGTAGTTGCCCACTTGGATCCACTTCCCACCGCATTAACAAACCTCTTCTTCCACATTCCCTTCTCTATGCACAATCACTCACTACAAGAAAATCAGCCTATAGAGGCAAATAATTAGAGACAATTATTGTAGTTGTCTCTATAATTAAGCTTTAGGGGCAAATATATTGTTTGTCTCAATAGGTTAAATTATTTGTCTATACAATCAAATCTAATAGTCTTTAGAGACAAATACAAATGTTGCTCATAGTTATGTCATATAGAGACAAATTTAATAGTTTTTGGATGCAAATATAAATGTTCCTTATACATACATCATATATATGCAAATCTAATAGTATTTAGAGACAAATACAAATGTCTCTTATAATTATGTCATATGGAGACAATCTAATAATCTTTAGAGACAAATAAAAATGTCACTTATAGTTATGTCATATAAAGACAATTTTAAAAGTCTTTAGAGACAAATATAAATGTTACTTATAACCATATCATATTTTTACTATTTAGAGACAAATGCATATGCTCCTAAAACACTATTTTGAATTGGTTGTGTTGTGTAAGTTTAAATAATGGGAAAATGATCATTGATGCCGCCCAAAAATTTCTCCATTTCAAACTTTTTTTTTTGTTTTCTTTCTTAATTATTTAGTTGTTATAAAAAATTGGATTTAAGAAGTTTTATTAGTAATTGGTATCTCTACCCAATTTTATTATCATTAAAAACGCTCACCACTAACTCCCACTGCCTATAGGATTAAATACACTAACCAGTCAGTCACTCCCCTTTTACTCCATTCTCTCTACTTCCCCTGTCCTCTCGTCTTCCATTTCTTTCCAGATCGAACAACGATCCATCTTCTCCTCTCGATCTCTTTGCGAAAGAGAAGCACGACCTGATCTACCTCTCTCATTTCTCGATCTACCCTATTCATCTCCCTTCTCTTCTGGAAACAGATGAAAATAAAGAAGTGTCGCCGTCGAACGACTTGGCGGCGATGGACGTCGGCAGTGGCGGCAACAGCGGAGCCAGAGATCGAAGGTCAACAATCCTCCATTTGAATGTCGATTTCAAGGGTTTTAATTTATTTGTGATTTAGGGTTCTGATCATTTTTATTTTGTCTATTTTGTTGAGTTTCTTGGGGGTTTCGATCACGGAGAGAGCAAGATGCGGAGAAGCGAGTCGCTGGCCTCGCCTTCGATCACAGAGCAGCCCTAAACGAAGTCATCGGTGACGGAGAAATCTCCGATGATGGTATATTTTTGGGAAGCTGGTTCGCCGCCGCCGGTCTCCAACAACATAAACGGCGGCAAGAGCAGCTCTCTGGAAGCATACACATGGAAGGGAACAGCGGAGAGATTGATTGAGGTTTTTGTTTATGCCAAGGTGTTTATGTATTGTTTATGTATTTTTCGTATTTGTTTTAT